TGTTCCTGGCTATTTATACACGTTTTTATGCATTTTAGGGAAGGAATTTATGTACCGATACCGAACCGATATAACCCTTTCTGTCCCGTGCCTGTACCGAAGCATCTGGACTGAAATTCAGTCCAATATCGGGACACCTCTAATTTGCGACTTTGCGTTATTTAATAATGAGCAAATGTGACAAATAAATATTTGCAAGTGACAATTTTGAACATTGATCTGACCGACAGTGACAAAAATAGACAATTCGTTCTGAATGTTGGCCTTGATGAATGCAAGTAAAGTTTTCTAAAAATGGAACATCACAGACCATTTGTTGGATTAAATTATTTGACTGACTAAAAAGGAAAGAATCTGACAAAATATGATAAGTAAATTTTAATTGTGACAAATGACAATTTTGGAATTTTAAAAGTGACTAAAGCATCCTCACTGCCCCCTCTTGGGTAGCCCTTTAGATTGCTACAGCAAATGGCTAAAGAGAAAATTTTGCAATTCCATCCTACAGCTCAGATTCAGATGCTCAGTGATTCATTGTAGGTACACAAGAATGTGGCAGAAACTTGATTTCTATATCTTATCAGCCATTTTTTGAAAGGAAAGCAAAGCCCAAATATTTTATATATGTCACAAATGAATAACCAAGATACAGCCACTCTAGTCCGATGCAAGATATTAGCATCTTTCATCCTCAAAAGTCACACGTGCAAGATGACTTGTGACATCATTGGTTATAAACATAAACAACGTGGCAACGGATACACCGTTACTATGAGTACCCATGCTCATACTAAAAATATAAGCTTGACGTCATAACAATGAAGCTTGGTTGCCATGCGTATCCAAGTATTTTCTATAATATTGATGTGACGTCACAACATCCGGGACTTTCTACCGTGGTATATACTCCGTGGTATATACAGCTGAAAACAAGGCTGCAGCTGGACACTGCAGGAAACAATGAAATACACCCTAATATTTTTAATCATGTGATAGGTTCTTATCTGAGAAAGCGAGAAACATTTCAATGATATAATAATTAGAGGTTATGGCACTATCGTGGCATATATGCCCGAGGTCTCAGTGATATATGGCCCGACCTTGGGAGGGACATTGATCTCTGAGAACCGAGGGCATATGTGCCACGATAGTGACATAAACGATTTATAACATACCTATGATGATGTAGACTGGTCAGAGAGTACCATTTTCTTATAGAATTGACAAACAAGTGGTTTGTAAATGATTGGAATGAGTTTAGAAAAATTGCTCGCGCAGTTTTATCTTCGATTGATTGGTTATGACGTCAGCGCATTGACCAATCAGAAAGTTAGCGGGCGCGGGCTTTTCAAAACTTATATTGGCCCGCTGTCTTGTGTACACTTTGCACTATACATCATCATAGGTATGTTATAAAAGCAAATATTTCATTCTATGGAGGGCAATACCTGTTCATCTTTCAATGATTTTTGCAGTATGTATTGCCCGCAGCACGTAGAGTGAGGGAAATACATGCTGAAAGTGCATCAGGTATTGCCCGAACATAATGAAATGAATGAAATATTTGTTTTATTATATCATTGCCTGACATTCTCTACAATCACTTTGCATTTCAAAGAAATATAGAATATTTGTTTTAATCAATAAATATGTCATAAACCCATAACACTTTACGTACATGTATCATTGTATAGTACTCTTTTATTTGGAATGTACTACAAACCCTTCGACCTACGACCCTTCGACCCTACGACCTACTGGGGGTCAAGAATTCTTTGGAATATATTTTATTAAAAACCCTTCGACCTTTGATTTCCCAGTCCAGTTTTCTAGCTTATACACAGGCAAATTACATTGGACCCCCCCAGCCTTTCAGTAGGTGATGTAGGTTCAAACCTAAAGCGAACCTAAAAGTGAATCCCACAATTTGATGGCTACCTAAACGAACCTACTTCATGTAGGTTCGCTTTAGGTTCGAACCTAAAACTACCTAAAGCACTTTAAAAAAATCAGAAACTTGTAGGTAGTTTTAGGTTCGAACCTAAGGCGAACCTAAAAATGTTATACTTTTTCAGGATTTACCTAAACCGAACCAAAAAATCTTAGAAATTATCTAGAGTTACCTAAAACTACCCAAAACACAAAAAATCGAAAAGTTGTAGGTAGTTTTAGGTTCGAACCCAAAGCGAACCTAAAAAACATAGTCATTCTTCAAGAGTTACCTAAAGCGAACCTAAAAATCTTAAATCTACCTAAAACACTTCAAACTTGTAGGTAGTTTTAGGTTCGAACCCAAAGCTACCTAAAGCTACCTAAAGCAAACCTACAAAACAGAAGTTCTGTCACAGCCACTAGGGGCGCTGATAGCAGGAAGTATCAATGCATTGTGGGTATAATATTCAAACTAAAATCAGTTAGACAGGAAATTTGGAAATAGCCAGGAAAATGGGGAAATATGCTGAAATGACCATCACATCAGTGCTCATTTACAAAGTACATGTAAGTAAGTGTACAAATGATCAATCAATATATTATTTTAACCTCTTGAATACCCAGAATGACGGATATATCTGTCACAGAATTTTTCACTAAAACTGCTCTAACTTTGGCAATTTTTATCCAATCTTCACAAATGATGTTTTAAAATGAATGTAATGGGTCTATGTTTACTATTCTTATGAAATCAAACATCAACTGTTGTGTTTTTAGATGTAAATATCAAAAAAACTGGCAAAAAATAAACAATACTCTGGTTTCAAACCCTTTTTAGAGGCTGGTATTCAAGAGGTTAAGTGTTATAAAAGCATGCAATTATAAAATAGGAGGAATTTTAAATAAATGTACCTGAGTGAGAAACTAAGCATCAAAATGTGTGAGAAATAAATAAACAGTTGACATAGCCTATACAGTTCACAAGTTTGTAGGGTCCAGACACCCGGCTACCTCCATAGGCCAGCTTAGGACCATCATTGTAAATAAATGTACTTGCGTGAGAATATATGCATCAAAATGTGTGAGAAATATATAAACAGTTCAAATCAACAAATCAAGTCATCCAGCTGCTGGGTGGTCTAAAGCCAACCCAGCCCTTGGAAGTATTTACCTAATGCGAACCTACGTAGGTTCGCTTTAGGTAGTTTTAGGTTCACTTTAGGCGATGTTCAAATATGCTAATTAGATTCAGGTTTGCTTTAGGTGACCACCTAAAGTGAACCTATAATTACCAAGAGCGAACCTATAATTACCTAAAGCGAACCTACCTAGGTTCGCTTTAGGTAGTTTAGGTAGTTATAGGTAGTTATAGGTTCGCTTTAGGTGATCACCTAAAGTAAACCTAGACCTAATTAGCATATTTGAACATCGCCTAAAGCGAACCTACCAATGGAGTTTTTATATGGGGAACTACCTAAAGCGAACCTAGAAATCCTAGTTAAATATATCACCTAAAGCGAACCTACTGAAAGGCTGGGGGCCGTACCAGCCCGTACGGAGGTTGTTGTGTCAACGGACCCTGTACAACCTCGTTCGGGCCTCGTTACGAGTTTTGTAATTGATTGTAATTTTCGAGCCCCATAATAAATCGTAATTTTCGATCCCCGTCCTTGCTCGTACGGTGCCTGTTACGAGGCCCGCAATAGCTCGTAATTTTTGAGCCTTGTACTTGCCTGTGCTATGCCCGTAACAAGGCCCGTACGGGGCTCGTAACGAGGGTCGTAATTGCTTGTTTATTTTAAGGAACACTTTTTGATCGATGAAATAAAATACAGCATACTTGGGAAATGACATTTCAATTATATCTAATTATGTATTAATATGTCTTCAATAATTTTAAAATATTTGCATGTCTGTAATAACATAATAAATAGTATTAAAGCTAGGAAACAAAATAAACAGGAGGGTAACCGATAATAGGAGACACCATATTTCTCTACAAGTGAAGCAAATGCATATAAAACCATTTGCGTGTGCTATTAGAATGAGTTAAAATGTGATGTAAATAAGTAATGACTCGTAATTCTCGAGGCTCGTAAGAGCTCATATGGGGCCTGATGTAATTTGCCTGTGTACATGATTTGTTTTGTACATACTGACTCTTAGTTTCAATGGAAACATAGTTGGTACCCAGTCATCTTGTTATTTGTACCATTTTTTACACCAACCCCGCATACATTACAAATATGCTGGGAAAACTTCAAATCTTATGACTGATCTTAGTGGAAATCGTGAGAACTCGATCTAGAATCTCTGGCCATAAGAGGAAATGTAACTGTGACGATATGAATATATTCATGAATTAGGGAGGTTTGTACATGTCTAAACATTGTCACTCCAAAGAATTAATAATGTATATGTATGGCTAGCCAGTCAATCAAAGGTGTTAACAGTGCAGCTGAATTGCATAAGAAATATAACAATTGGTGAAAAACACACTTTTCAAATAACGATATCTTTCAAAATATAAGACCAATTACAAAGTTTTATACACCATTGAAAAGCTAATTCACCGATAATTTAAGGAATAATTCACACAATTAATGGACATGTATTTTTCTCTATATTCGACCAGAAAGAACATGAATAACTGGAAATGAATGATTAGGACTAGGCCATAAGAAGTAGATTATTTATTTTGCGTCCCTTTGCATGCAAATTTTTTAGCAAATCAAAAAAACAATCACATCCAAATAGCAATCCCAGGGGTCTGAACGTATTTTTTTATTGCATTTCGTTCAATCAGAATTGGAAATAGCGGACAATTTGATGTGCATCAATATTCTGAGTATGTACATCCATCAGTCTGTCCAGACAATAACTCAAACACCCTTGGACTAATATTGTTTATATTTTATATGTACATATAAGAATTGGACCTCAACAGTATATGGCCCATGGGAGCACAAGTTCTGCTCAAAAGCCGAACAAGAACATCTTGCACATTTCTTATTATGATATAATGAATTTAGCATTTATAATTGAATTTCATGTGTCATCCATTGCAGGATGAAGCTAACGCTGAGGAAGCTGGAGTTGCTATACCTGCAGGTCAGGAAGGTCTTACTCCTGCTGAGGGGGTGCAAGAAGACAGCATGATTAATATCACCCCTCTGCCACTCAATGAACTGGCCCCACCACCAAATAATGATGAACTTTTTGGTAAGAAAACTTGGTCAGATTTTTTTGCCATATGGGATCTTTTTAGCATAAATTAATCAATTCTATATTATGTGTTATTGCCTGCTGATCCTATTTCCTTCAGGAATGCCATGACCAAGGGTTTATAATGTAAAGGTTGAAATTATTTGGATTATGTTTGAAATTTTCATTCACATAGCTGTTATTTTATCAGAATAAATGAAGCACAGGCCTAGGAATCCCCTTGCCTCAGTTTTATCATAAGATAAGAGGAGGCCAGATAATCAGAATGATGAAATTAACAAACCTAAATGACTGCAATAGATATATGGAAAAGTTCAACGATAAATCCAAAAATACATGTATATTGTATTCAGTTAACATTCATATGTCTTACAGGTAACATTGATGAGCTAAAGAAACAGCATGAGAAAGACATGGAAGAGTTTGAAAAAGCCCAAGAGATGAATAAGATACGTATGGAACAAGGACTGGAGGAGAAGATTAAAGCAAGGAGGTCCAGGAGACAAAGGCAGCAACTGAACAGCATGCACAATGATGGAAGGGATGTTTCCCTTTAAGTACATAATATAAGGAGCATTATCAGATAAGATTCACAGCTGTAGTACAAAGACTTTATTAACTTACATAAATAGGAATGGTAAAGGGAGAGAGATTGGCTTAGAGGGGGACAGTTGAGTTTGGCATTTGCTGGGTTCCATCCATACTTCTAATAATAAGGATATCCCTATTCCATATTACACATATCAAACTATAGTCAAACATATTAATACAAATGCACAAATGGAGATCAAAGGAGATCGCTCCATGTTAATTTTAGGGATGGGTGGGTTAATAAAGAAGGTGAATGAAGTAAATAAGAGAAATGTGCAGTATTTGCAATACCATAAAAGGGGTAAAAGGGGTTTCATGATGCATTTCACCATTTGATACATGTCTCAGTATTATTAGGTCTCTATTGGATTCTGGTATTAAGATTTTTGTATGTAATGAGTGTAAATAGCAAAGCTAAAGCCAATGATAGGAAATGTCAAACATCTCTGGTTTATTCATCTGTGATATTAAAGAAAAAGTATTGGGAATTTATAATATACTGTTTAACCTAGACCCGTAATACATGAGTAGTAACCATAAAAGCTCACAAGGTACCATGACTACTGTAAAGCGAAATGTCATGTGGTCTCCATTTATCAGACTTCTAAACACAATGGCATGAGGATTATTGCAAGGTACTATAAATCTTGCACGATACTACCCATGTCTTTCAGGACATTGTCCAAGAAAATCAATTTTCTAATGTCAGTACTTGTCAATGATTCTACTTACATTGTAGAATTTGAATTAAACAGTGTTGTAATATTACTGTCGTAGTGTTGTAACTTGTCTTAGTTCATATCTCATCTATTCTTGTTATCCACCTTGTCTTAAGCAGAGCTTAAGTTGTGGATTTGATATGAGATCAGTTCAGAATGCTACAATTAAATGTCCGTCCATAATATACTAAATATAAGTGCATAATTAACCGAATAATGATGAAATTAACAGCATAATTCACAAAAGATGGCGTCATGTTTTATTGAAAGTAATAGTGAGACATCTTTTACTTGCTGGTATTGACGTGAATCAAATCATTGTGCAATTCAGTGCATAATTTTGCCTTTACAAAAACTATTTGATGATAACTATAACCAATGGTGTTATCATATATCTAATGTTGATAAATTATTAGTTCATGCACTAATGATTAAGGAATGTAGTAATTATGTTCCCTAATCATACTTGTTGAAATTGTTTATCATGTGAATTGTACATAAAATGAGCAAAACATTTTGTACACAAGATGTCCGTGTTACTGGAAAAAAAACTTTTATATCACACATGCATACATTATGCTCTAAAATAATCTTACAATGGACTTAATGTCCATGGTGATATATTTAAGTAGTCTGGCATCAATATCCTCTCTTACCTTTTACTCAGAACAGGGTCTTAGTGCAAGACTAAATTAGGAAATGCTCTTATGAATGTATATGACAATCACAACACAACGGCATGAGGATTATTGCAAGGTACTATAAAACCTGTACCATACCCATGTCTTTCAGGTCATTGTTCAAGAAACCAATATTCTAATGTCAGCACTTGTCAATGATTCTACTTACATTGTAGAATTTAAATTAAACAGTATTGTAATATTACTGTATTAGTGTTGTAACTTGTCTTAGTTCATATCTCATCTATTCTTGTTACCCACTTTGTCTTAAGCAGAGCTTAGGTTGTGGATTTGATATGAGATCAGTTCAGAATGCTTCAATTAAATGTCCGTCCATAATATACTAAATATAAGTGCAAAATTAACCAAATAATAATGAAATTAACAGCATAATTCACAAAAGATGGCGTCATGTTTTACTGAAAATTATAGTGAGACATCTTTTAATTGCTGGTGTTGACATGAATCAAATCCATTGTGTAATTCAATTCAAAGCATAATTTTGCCTCTAAAAAACTGTGTAGATGATAACCAATAGTGTTTTCATATATCTAATGATGATAAAATGTTAGGTCATGCACTAATGATTAAGGAATGTAGTTATAATCTTCCTTAATCATATTTGTTGAACTTGTTGATCATGTGAATTGTACATAAAATGAGCAAAACATTTTGTACACAAGATGTCCGTGTTACTGGAAAAAAAACTTTTATATCACACATGCATACATTATGCTTTAAAATAATCTTACAATGGACTTAATGTCCATGGTGATATATTTAAGTAGTCTGGCATCAATATCCTCTCTTACCTTTTACTCAGAACAGGGTCTTAGTGCAAGACTAAATTAGGAAATGCTCTTATGAATGTATATGACAATCACATGTGTTAACATAGTCTTTTTTCTGTAGATGGTAACATCTATTGTTTCACTATTAGAATATATAATGATTGGAATCCTTATTTTTGTGTACTATATTTTTGTAAGATATTACTCTTCTGTGCACTGTACACATGTACCTGTTAATATATATGATTTTTAGTCAACATGTACATAAACTGAATCCTATATAGAAATTGGGCGTTTAACAAAACTATATGTGATATTATTTTTGTAAATATTTACAAACTATACCATACATGTATATGTTACACTAACCAAATTTTCAGAGTTCCTGAAGTTATGATAGTTCAACTAAATTCTGTTTTTATGTGAAGTGTTTGGAAAACAGTGAGCTTCGGTTGTGTTTTCAAATGCATTTAAGCTTCATGTTTATATACAAGCTATGTATTTTTATGTATTCTATCTGTGATCTATTTCTTCCAGTCTATTTGGAAAATTTTTTGTAAATATCTCCTCTACAGGGTGACTCTATTTACTGAGAGTAAATGTGTTAAATATTGTGAAATACAGGGTGTATCAGTTATATTTACAGAACTGGTTTGATATCATATATTAAGCTTTAAAGTTTTTATTTATTTAATTTGATCAAGAAGTTTCAAGTGAACCAAACATCAGATAAATATTTATCCTTCAATTATTTTTGCAATTTTGTGGTGTTGCCAAAATACAATCTTAAAGATGATCATTATTTGATAATGTATAAATAAATTATAGCCCTACACAACCATATATCTGATTTGTACCTGAATTTTAAAATTATTTAAAAAATTCTGAAATTATCAATGGTCAGCAATACATTCTTATTTCAGGGTGTCAGTAATTGTGTGACTGGACCTTGTATAATATTGGTATAATTAACTGATATGTAATTATATTTTATGTAATTTAGAAGTATATAAATAAATGCATCACCATTCCTTCCCATGAAGATCTTCCCTTTTATGTACATTTACTGACTGGCAGCCGACTGTCACAGCGCTGTGAGAGCACATCGGAATGTGCCATGCAAATGATATTCATTCAATTGAGCCTCTCTGCAGCCGGCTGTCAGCACTGTGAGAGCACATCGGAATGTGCCATGCAAATAATATTCATTCAATTGAGGCTCTCTGCAGCCGGCTGTCACAGCGCTGTGAGAGCACATCGGAATGTGCCATGCAAATGATATTCATTCAATTGAGGCTCTCTGCAGCCGGCTGTCACAGCGCTGTGAGAGCACATCGGAATGTACCATGCAAATGATATTCATTCAAATGAGGCTCTCTGCAGTCAGCTGTCACAGCGCTGTGAGAGCACATCGGAATGTACCGTGCAAATGATATTCACTCAAATGAGGCTCTCTGCAGCCAGCTGTCACAGCGCTGTGAGAGCACATCGGAATGTACCATGCAAATGATATTCATTCAAATGAGGCTCTCTGCAGTCAGCTGTCACAGCGCTGTGAGAGCACATCGGAATGTGCCATGCAAATGATATTCATTCAAATGAGGCTCTCACAGCACTCCTAACAGAATCCTCTGGCAGCCTCGTGATAGCTGACTGTCACAAAATAGCAGCCTTGAATTTTTCCAGCAACGCTAGGAGTTAAACCAATTAAAAAGGCGCTAGACTATTCGATAATATATCAGTGGAATGACTGGACCGATGTATCTGGATTACGTTCAGTGTTTTTGTGGATGGCTCTCCATTTTTACGGGTGGGATAGAGCTTAACCCAATGGATAAAAGGGCCACGTAGTCGTGCACTGATTCAACGTGGGAAAAACAACTTTGGGGAATAGTTTACATTTAATCTTCCACTATCCAATGTGCCTACAATGGAGGGTGACAAGAAGGGTAGGGATATCTAAACCGGTGAATATGGATCAGTTAAAATCCCCTTCCTCATATTCTGAAAAGAATCAACTTATCTGATGATTTAGACCTGAGGCCTTGGAATACGTTATAAAATGTTTAAAAATCCCCCAGTGTACTAATGTTGGTAATGCCTAGTGTATATGTAAATATACTATATCTTAGCTACTTACTCATGCAAATGAGTGAACATAATGGATGTAACAACAAAAGATAGATGGAAAACACAAGCAACTTTATTTTTGCTGTATACCCGGGCCTCAGATTTGGACTGTAGAAGACCAAGATTTTTCCAACAAAAAGTTTGTTCGCGGGTCTTAGATCGTTTGGGCCATTGCAAAGGTCGTCTTAAAGGACGCGAGAAATAAATGTACGAATCGTGATAATTGTTGTTGTAATTGTTTATTGTTTAAAGAGTCTACAAGGGAAATCCTGCGCTAAATGGTTTTATTTTCATTTTCATTTCTTTAATCGTAGAGTTACGATTAGTAAATATTCTCAAGTCATGTGAAAATCCATGCCAGTACATACAATCACCACGTTCACAAGAGGGACCATTGTAATCATATGTCGAAAATAAGTTAGCATTAGCTCCACAATTACTGTACCACCAGGGTCCGATGGTGTGTTTTGCCATACATCTATGTCCTCCATTATCTACATCTTTTGTCGAAAATGGATGCCCATTGACGTATAGGAGTCTATCTCTTACGGTACTAACGGATCTAATATAGCCTGCCAAAATAAGCTTATACTTGCTTCTTACATCGCCGATTCGGAAAGAAGAATATTGTGCAAAACCTCGTTCCCTTTCCCATCCAAGATAATCAATTCGTAGCATGTAATATCCCCGGTTGAGAATAGTTAAGAGAGACTCAAACCCAATGAAGTATTCCTCCGGTGTTACCCCAAAACCATGTTTGTATTCATCCCACGTGCGTCTTTCAAAATCCTCGTGGCCATTGTAGCGGTGTGCAATGACAAGCCACTCTTCATCACAGTTGGCCATTATACGTTTTCCAGGTGTTGTCAAAATTTCATTTGGTCCACTTTTGGCTTGAATACAATCTGAAATCATAGGTTAACATTTGTTTCGAATTCTATGATACATGTGTGAAAATGTGACATAACAGAGTGAATCAAAGTTTGATCCGTTTTAGACTATTTGGGAATGGGAAGACTGCCATTTAAGCTTCTTTCCTAAGTGTTTGCGCATCAGATCAAGCGCATACCTTAAAACTTAATTTAAAAAATCATAAAAGACCTAACAGATTTTGCCAATTCATTTAGCGATTTTTTCGTAACCTTTTCATAAGAATAAATCTTACAATTATGAGAAGTCGCCTGTTTTCCATCTTACTCATTTCGTTTTGTCGCTCATTTGGAATGAATTACTTCCAGTTGTTGAAAAACATTTTCGATCATCAGTTGCTGAAAACTTACAGTGTTATTCTTACCTTTGAGTATCTTGGGTGCACATGCACATGAGTTGAAATCAAAGACACGGAACGTTTCTCCCTCGGGGCACATCTGGTAGATTGTTTTTCCATTAGGCACAGTCTGGTAGAAGAATGCATCCTCAATAATTCCGGGCCAATACCAAATGTTATCTTTGCAACATGCCTTTGGAGTATCTCCTCCGTATCTTTCATGTGACTTTTCTGGACAGTGATCTGATTAGAAGAAGACATTTGTTAATAATGTAATCTGTTAACATAATATCTAATTACTATCTCAACGAACGAGGTATACTAAAATATTCCGTCCGTTCGTACTCGTCTGTTTACAAAGTTCAAGCAAAGTAGAACTTCAAAGGTCCAACTTACGCTTGCATGTTATTGTATTCATCCAATGGAAGAATCCGTCAGGCGACAACTGGCGGTTGAATTTGCGAATGTTACCTCAGAAAATGGTGTCTCGGCTAAGAGCGCTTAGCTAAAACGTTTTAGGACCCTAGTCATAGCCAAGACGTCTTAGCGTTAAAACGTTTTACAAGCGAGTGTAAATCCATCGGTTTTAACCAAGAGCTCTTAGCTCGGTTTTTGCGTTGCGCCGAACGAAACATTTGAAACTTTCCATTTACATATGTTGCACGGTCCTTTCTTTTGTCTTATCCCTTGTTCCCAATATCATCCCAAAATTATCGAGAAGAACTTATTTTCCTGGCGATTTATCATAATCCTAATTTATGCATAAAATCTTCCTGCTCTCTTTCATGCTTTTAACAATGCTGTCTTTAGGAAATATTTTTCTGAAACCGATGCATTCTTTAGTACAAAGTATAGAAGCGGGAAAGGAAGAGCTATATTGACTGAACCGTCCTTCAGCCAGAACTGAAATGTTTTTTTTCATTTTACATGTATACGTATCTCAAAGACGTTTTACTTTAAAAACAGGTGTGAACTCAATCATATTTCGTAAGACGTCTTGAAAATGGTGGTGTAAACTCAACATAATTTTTCTACAACGACGTCTTGGAATGCCACCTGTAGTGCAAATAGGGCTACTATCTACGATCATTTCAAGTTCGATGATGACACTAAACTTACGAAAGTAATGGAGCTAGAATTCAGAACAGAACCAAAAATATGAACTATAGCACGAAAGACACAAAACCAGGAACAGAAATTCCCCTCAATAATTCTAATAACGCAGATGCGAGTAGGTAGTTACCAGTTTACTAGCTCGTTCGGGTCAGATAGCATGTCGGGCATTTCATATTACCCTTATGTATCTAATAGTTATGCAAATAAAATATGTCCAGTAAAAGAAAATGTTATCTGTCCATTACAAGAAATACAAGATATTTCACTTTTTGTGATTTTGTAACATGGGGTCTATGGGGAATCAACCCGAACAAGAAGTCACATTTTCAAGAAAAATTAAATTTCCAAAGTTGATAAACAGTTTTCGAAACCACATTTCTAGATGTTCTTGTATATAATTCAAATATGACATCACTTTGCCTGAAAGGAGTGGTATCTGAGAACTTGAATTCAACAATGTTTTTCTCTTAACCAATCATTGAAAACATTCTACAACAAAACACGGTATTTTATGTAATGTTGACTGATTGAAAACAATTTAATGCGAAAATTATTTAGAAATATTTTAAATAACTGTTTTTGTTAACATTTTTTGGCTTTTTAGTGCAATTGTTTTTTGCTCTTTTCTACCAATGAGAATGAAATAAAATGTCTTTATGAACCTCGTTGGAACAAAATAGCATATACAACATGTTTTTAGACCTCTCAATATTATAGTTATACAAAGGAATTTTTAGTTGATTTTAAAAAAGAATTCAAAAAACTAAAACAAAATCTCCTCAAAATAGATAAAAATCAAGATATTTCATTAACAAGATACTTTTTAAAACCAACCAAAATTTTCTTTGTACAATTACAATATTGAGAGACCTAGACATGTTGTGTTTATGTCGTTTTGTTCCAATGAGGTTCGGAAAGATGTTTCATTTCATTATGGAAACAGGATACCAAGAACAAAACAAGTGTTTGATGTGTTTTCTAAAACAAAATAGATGGAACTATATATATATTTCAAATTATATTGTTTCCATTCAAAAGATGACCATTAAATTTACGATGTGTTTTTTTAGATTTTTTATGACTGGTTTAAGAGAAACGTGTGTTCAAAAATTTCTCCATATCGATACCACTCCTTTGAATATTTGATGACGTAAATCAAGATTATTTCAATTCGCATATCTAGTCTATCGAGTGACTTTCTTTCATACTACTCCTTAATAATGGACAAAACTAGAATTTGCAAATTCAGTTTGGAACCCAAACACGGCCCAGATGCTTCAAAAGTAACAACAAATAAAAAAAACATCTGTCTTCAGCCAACGAATGGACAATACAAGCAATGGAAAGACCTCCCGAATTTGTGAGAAGAAAAGAAAATACAATTTGAATTCATACATTCAAGAATAAACTAGACAAAGACACATGGATGACCAAATGAAATTTGACCCCGATATTACAACATACAGTCAGAGGTAGCCGAGTGAACAGAACCTATTCTGAGGCTCTATCCTAAAATTGCGAAATACCTTTTGAACATTTTCTAATTTTAAAACCTATTTAAGAATCATGGTAACATCGAAACGGTTGGTCTGACAATAAACTTTACCTTATTTTACTTTCCACGTATAGAGATTAGATGATCCGGAAGATAAGTGCATGTATCATTGGCTTACGGACAACTCATCCCCTAGACAACTCATCCCTGGACAACTCATCCCCTAGACAACTCATCCCCTGGACATCTCATCCCCTAGACAACTCATCCCCTGGACATCTCATCCCCTAGACAACTCATCCCCTGGACAACTCATCCCCAAGACAACTCATCCCCTAGACAACTCATCCTTAATCACATGAAGCCAAATTGTTAAGTTTTTTTTGGGAAAATAAATATTTATCAAATACACTTTGAATCATTCTAAATATTATTTTTCGCTTTATTGACACATAAAATGGTCAAACGGTGCCAATAAAACCTTCGTATTTTGTCCTTATAATACATGACTTATTATTTCATGACAAAAAATAAAGTTTTCTCTCTGCATTATTTTGAAACATGAACTTCAGTAACTTCATCTGTTACTGCTGTGAAAAAATATCTTTTGATTTAAGAATATTTGAACTATGAACACACATATAATGACATCAAAGGAGCTTATGACATCAAAGGAGCTTCTTCAATGAATGTTAACATAATATTGAAATTGTATATCATAAGTAAAATTAAAGGTAAATATTTACAAAACAAATTACAGATTAATTGGTTGATAATCTCCTTGACAATACCATAGTAGTACCATGGTATATCATAGTTTTTTAAGCAATTTTCCAGATTTCCCCTCAAGAAAATCTTTGTTCACTTGTCAGTCAGAAGACAACAGAATCGTCGCTTTAATACCTTACTATTGTTATGTAAATAGAAAGAGTTAGAAGTGCAGATCTTAACCATTTTTTGAATTTCTGTTTACGTAACAAAAGTGAGGTATTAAATCGAGGATCGTGTTAATCATTTGAATAATATATGAATTAATAATATTACATTAAATTACTCAAACATGCCAAAGGATGAGTCGTCCAGGGGATGAGTTGTCCAGGAGATGAGTTGTCTAGGGGATGAGTTGTCCAGGGGATGAGTTGTCTAGGGGATGAGTTGTCTAGGGGATGAGTTGTCCAGGGGATGAGTTGTCTACAGGGATGAGTTGTCCAGGGATGAGTTGTCTAGGGGATGAGTTGTCCGGTTACCGTATCATTGACTGTATCTGGAAGGACAATCAACTGTTTAGTACAAATGCTCAAATACAAATAGGCTGAGTTTTTATACGAGGAAACATCACATTGATTTCAGATGCAGTTTTGATAACATGCACATAAATTCTCATCCTAGAATTAACAGCAAAGGTTCCATATTGCGTTGTGTTGATCCAAAATGTGTTTGAGAAAATATCATAAATATCACATCGACGATTTGACAGATGTGTGCTTGAAAAATTAAAAGTGGATTCCCATTAAAGATAACATTAAAGTTAGATTCATTGTAGAGCAATCATCCAACAATTAATATGATCAAAATACCGTACCATTTTATTAAAGAGATTGATACGTTACCTTTAACATTTGAGAGTTCTTCCCTTAACCTCGAAAGTTCATCCTTCAAGTCATCATTCCTTGCATTGAGCCTCGCTTCCATTTTGGATAATTCAAATTTCAAGATTTTAGACATCTTTTGGTTCCAGTTCACACCTTCTACAAACTTGTCTGAAAAATCATGATAAAGGCATTGTAAATTGTGTTTTGATTATCCCCATAGTCGGTGAGCGGTTCTTCTTTTTGGTGTGATTCTTAATTGGTATATTTAACATTTGGATACTCAGCTTGAAGTGCTCATCGTGTGGTGTTTATTGTGCCCCACCCGACGTACACTGTACTAGATTGAATAAAATGTTATTGCCTGGCTCTTTTTCAGTGATTTTAGTAATCTTAAAATCATCCCAAATTATTGCATTTCCTTGCTCATAAACTATAATTGTTTCTTAAAGCATTATTATTTGGGAGAATTCTAAAAATAAATGATCTAAAAACACCATTTGTAAGAAAAGGGTACCGGCTTCGTGGTTCTGGTGGGCTGACTTGACGAGTTTAATGAGTTACAAAGTTGTCTATTCAACATTCCATTATGGTCTTGATAAATATTATAATTTAAACTTAAAAACAGCGTTCAATAAGTTTAGAAATTATGGAATATTATTTTGCATTTTAATAATTAGAAATTGAGGAGCCTTATTTTATTGAAAAATTGTAAATATTGTAAGTGATCTATAATCAATGTAAATGTACTTAACTTAAAACATATTTCCACTTACTGGTAAAGCTGAGCGTTCCTGCTACCGTTAGGAATCGAAATATAAATGATTTGAGCCAGTTTGTGTCAGTTTTTCTCTTCATTTTTGCATGCATATGTTTCTATTCTGAGTTTATTTTGGTTTGAGTGTCTTACAATAATAGCTCATCGTTCATCCCTTTTATTTGTGTTGCAAATCACTCATTATTACATGTTGTGACTTTTTAATTGTGACATATTACATAAAATGATGAAATATATCAGAAAAGTCAATAAAGCTATCATAAGGTTACAATGATATTGTTGGTTTTGCATATAACTGTAATGAATCATTTAATGCAATAATTTTTTATATGTTCAACATAGTTCTATTAACTACTATCATGGGGTTTTAAAGCCCATGCTATTATAAAATATTACATTGCTCACCTTAAAAAGTAATGAATACCCGGACTATTGCCACGTTTTATATCATACAAGTAGCATGAAAAATGTCGGCTCGTAATGTCATTGGAGGGGCAGCAAATTATTAGATTGAAAAATCATCACTCTTGGATTTATTTCTTTTCACACTGTATTACATGTCATACCAATTCTCGTAAAAGTCCCTGATTTGTGTTTCAGTTAGAAGGCGGTTATTTTTATGGAAATTCCCTTTTTTATTCTAATGATGTATGCGCTTAATTAAATCCCAATTGTTTTTCCTTTGCGTTTTTCATACATTTTTTTAAGTTTCAGTATTACTTCAAATGTTACTTTTTAGAAGACCATATACTATAGTACACAGAAATATTTTGTTTCAACTTATTTATACATTTATTTATAAATCATTTATTTGGTATTCCAAATACAGATGTACATATATACAAACAATTTCATAAAATTCTCCATCTTTCTTGATTGTACATTGTACACAGACAGAGAGCACAATTATGCTATTAAAACACAGCAGGGTCTCTTGCTAAAGTCAGAGCAAGGAATTTAAAAAGTCATAACTATTCAATAATTATAATTTATTCAGTGACCACTAAATTGACCAAGGTATTTTGAAATGACCAAAAAGATTAGGAAAAGCCTGGCATTTCAAAATGCAGCAAAAGATTTGTACTTTCATGATGACTTTATTTTTAATCATACATTGCACATGTCATAGACTATCTATGTATGGTAATCATTTTATTACTAAATATGTAATTCACACTTGAGCCTCATTACGGCAAGGGGTACATGTAATTTGTCAAGGAAAAATGAAATGTCAGAGATTATCTCATAAAAATATATGAGACAGTATGATTAAAAACAATGTTCTTTGCTAGCTGCAATGTATGTTTTTAAAGTAATCTCTAGCTTAAATTTCTTCACGAGTCACATTCACAAATGTAACAGATTGTCATACAGTAGCACAATTAAATCTGAATACATGAACACCGTTTTAAAGAAGGGCTCAAAAAAGTCACCAATTTTCCTGTCTCTTTTTATGAAAAGCCCACTATTACACTTTATCCGATTTAGACAAACAGAATGTGTTTACTAGACAGGTTCTATGACATTTTGAAGTGATTGCATGTATAGGCAGCAATGCTCATATTCACCTCAGCTCATTCATATTCCTTTCTACTCATATATATGATATAATGTTTTTTCACAATTCAAGTTAATTTACTTTCTATTCCAACATGTTTGTTCAAGCATAATCACTTTAATTAACATTTGAGGCAATAAATAACAATAATTTAATTAGTGAGGAACAATTATAAATAATTTACAACATTAGGTGTATCGTTATGCCTCTCACTAGAACATTATTTTAGGACTTAACTCATACAGAAGGCAAGTCACTTTATCATACTGATAAGAATGATTCTCACATCATGTTATCTTGGGTAACATGTAAATATACCTTATATTCGCAAACGCAACTAACGAATTCTGGCTACCTGATTAACCTATTAATTTTCATGAATTACTCATCAATTATCAAATTGGTGAATCAACTACTGGGATGCACGGCAGGTACTATTCATGTTTAAATGAGTTTGTCCTCAAATTGCAATCAAACTAGTAGTCGCTAGCTGAAAGTTGCATTCGTGAATGCAAGCTTACTTAATAAAAATAAACCTGGACCAAATCAGATGATGGTCAATCAAGTTTCTAAATAAAATTGATTTTAGCTCGCCATTCTCAATATGTCTGTTGAATTTTTTTGTCAGCATACATATTGTAGCAATATTATATTTAAATCCAACACAACAACAGTGATGAACAACCCTGCTTGACCTGCCATCTATATGACTCCTCTTAATAAAACCATGATGCATGGACGCATTTGCTCAAACAAAATGTTTATATCAGCAAATTGTTGGGATAATAGAGGTTAATAATAATCCTTTCTGGTTCAATCACTCAAATGGTTCCAAATACTGCAAGACATTTTCCGTGGCATCGTATATTCATCAGTAAAGTTTTGATACTGGATGTCCACATTTCATTATGATCATCATTCATATTGCCATGTCATCATTATATGCTGTGATGTCATCAGTTGTTGCTGTGATGTCATCAATCACTGTCACTTCCTGATGAATCTGAGGAGTCGCTGAGCTGAAGATCATCCTCTGAAAATAAATCAATATCATATTTTAAAACAAAACCACTTTTTTTTATAAACAATATTCACATACTTCATTCCATTAAGGAGAATACCTATGCATCTTTCACTAGTTATATCCTGAAGCATGATGGGAAAGAGAATATTTAATTTGTGAAAGTTTGAAGATGTTCTCTAAATCAACAGATAAAACAGATGTGACATAACAGTACTTAGTAACAAATGTAGCTTGATATCGATGCATATGAATTATTTAAGTTATATTTGAAATGAGGTCAATATGACCATACAATATATCATATCCTTTCTTGAAGTACTTATTGTGTTACTGATGCATATACGTGTAATAATATAAGCCTATGCATATAACATCAAGAAAATACCATTTATAAGCTGCATTTTGGAAAGTAAATTAGATAATTTTAGTATTCCGCTAAGTTTCAAGAAATAAAAACAAAACAGTGAACATGAGATAAACCAAATATCAAATATTTCCCCGATAGATATAACCTAAAATAATCTGATATTCTATGTATTATATCTGTTTTTTCAAACATGAGCTGAAGATTTGACTTAATGAAGGGGGTTGTGTTAGAATGTCAGTTTTGCCTACCTGAATTGGCGAACATGAAATAACAAGTCTATGCCAATAAAATGGATGTATGCTAACAGGATATTAATCTAATTCTAAGACTCTACAATACAACATATTTCCCGCTATCTTAGTTTCTATGTACATTGCAGAAACTACAATCCATGAATTCAGACAAAATGGTATAAACGGTATAAATCAAATAATAAGTGACAAAAATCAACAATCTAAAAGTCATTTCAATCTTATTATCAGTTTCTCAGAACTCTTAATCTATTTCCAGAAACTTTTAATGATTATTTGAATTGAGTTAATAACCATTAGTTCAATCTGTTTCAAGAATTAAATGATTCATTTTACAATAACAACTGGAACAATGGCACTGCAACTCCATGCAGTAGCAAATCCAAACAAATGTTTTCCCAAATCCAAAACTTCTCATCTTTTGTAGTGTTTTGTATTCATTTCATTTCTTGCATCATCTTGAATATCATGCTATATGAATCTGAAACTTAACAGTTTACTGGAGTGATCTTGACATGTAGAGAGTCATTCTGCCTTCAATTTGAATGTGTAATATTCTTATTGAAGAGATATAAAAAAAACTTTTATCTCTTATAATATATTTTTCAACCAAAGATGAAGAAAAAAGATCAGTTGCCTTATTAATGTTGTTGTTGTTGTACATCGTAATCTAAACATTGTATTTATGTTCTTTCTATCATAAACAAAAAGAATATAAATCAATATAAAATGACAGAAATATAAATCAATGAAGTAAATAAAATAAGCATATTTCATAGTAAGATTAAAGTCAAACAGGGTTCTACGCTATAAGGTTAAAGGCACCATAAAAGTTAAGACCACTTTGGATTACTTTTCAACTTATTTTTTTGAATAACTTTTTCTTTGAAATATTGTGAATTTATTTCAAATAAGATTTTAGTTGTCATGTACATATATTGTCAAACAATAATTTACATCAACACATAACATACACCCTGGGCTTAACCATGGGCTAAGTGCAGGAAAATGGTCCAGAGAATAAAAGCATGAGAATTTAGTTCCTTATTGAATCCAATGGTACATAAATATTTACAACATGATAAAAACTACAAAACAAACCAAAATATACAAGAGTTAGACCAGGCACATATCATTTTATTTTCCATATAATGTCCCAAGCAATGTGGTCCTTCAATCGCTGATCTTGAAGATTCAAAGTTGTCATGGAAACTGTAAGGAAGATGTATTTACTTTTTTGGGTAAAATAACACCTCACACACCTTCATCAATCATCATTGACAATTGAGTAAATATTATGCAAAAATAGTTATTAAGAACAAAGAAACATTTATAAAGGTTGTTCTGATGCATGTAAATCAACCCTTATCATATCAATCTATCATGATTACAAGTCTCTCTTGTCTATTACCTTTCTATTGATTCTAGCTTCGATGGCAATATTGTCAATGGGTTATAATTACATCCACTAAAAGCTGAAACTTGTATTTTAGAGTAGGTCAATAGACTAGCTTGTTCGTTTATTTGATTTAATCAGTTCATTAATATGTTCTTCTTATCTTTCAAAACACATTTGGTCTAAAGTAAATCCTAAGTATTGACAAACACAAAAATATTTTTCCAATTTGATCAATCATTTGAGATAAGTTAAAGTTTAAAAGCATTTTCACAGAAATAATACATTATTCTAAAAACAGAATGATGCGTGGGATTCTTACTAATGTAATTACACCTCCATTAATATGCTTCCTAGTAAATTGATAAAGGAAATGCAGCTCAGCTGTTCTGAAAGCATTATGCCTTATGAAGACAATTAGATGGCGCTATAGCGATCACAACCTCACATAAATGATATCATGGATATACATCAGCAACCAGAAGTTTCGAAAACATTCAAGTGAACAATGTACACCAGACCAGTCATGCAAAATTAATTTTTTAAATCTACGTAAAATTACTAGTTATATTTATCATAATCAAATACACTGCAACAGCTTATGAAGACTACTAAACAAAACTTAGACATGCGTGGCAACAACAAAAAGTGATTAATTAACTCATTGTTGGTATAAAACTAGAGTAAGTTGTCTGAAACAAGTCTTAAACAGAAGGATATAAAAATAGCTTTCATCTATTAATAATTCAATCTTCTTTGAGGATGTATAAATCCATGAAGTATTACACTTGAGACAACAGAGAAAGAAATGTAGGTTTTAAGACATTATGCGTTGAATGAAATATCACAATATTGTAACTTGATGAAAACTTAATTAAAAACATCGGAAAATAGTATTTATCCAATAATTCAAAACAATATGGAAACAAAAGGTGTAAAAGAAATTTACTGCAAACACATCTAATTCTCAAATTGAATTACTGTAAACACATGCAATCAGGATTACATGGAGTATATATGAGAACATAGATAAAGGAAACAGATCAAAACAACTTCCACCACAAGAACGAAGAAGAACAATTCAATCATGAATGAGACAAGCCATATTCAAAATGAAATGCATGTGAATCTTAAACAGAAAACATTTGAAATCCATAATCTTGGATATGTAGTGGGTCAGATAATCCTGATGCTGTGGATATGTGGCGGAAATGGACTGATTTTGGTTTCTTATAGGCGTAGTGAGCGACTTAGAACAGTCACAAATTTTTTCATCTTGCAGTTATCGATAGCCGATTTTAGTGTTGGGATACTTATGCCTATGCATATAACTATGTATATCTGGCCAAGGATTATAAGCTACACATATGTTTGTTTGTTGCGTTATTGTTCACTTTTGGTAACCATGACAACATCTGTATTGTGCCTTCTAGTGATGACAATTGACAGATACATAGCCATATTTAAGCCACTAAGGTATCAGACAATAATGTCCAAATCACGAGCATCAGTTGCGATTGTTGCATCATGGACATACGCATTTATCCTTGCATTAATTATACCTTTCATATGGTACAACCATGACTGGGCATCTGAAGATGACGACGAATGTAGAATGCTTGGTATTTTACACCTTGAACTTTTCCAGTTCATAGCGCTGCCTCAATTTTTTCTCATTGCATTCGTAATCATATTCTTATACATCAAAATATTTCATTTAGCTTATGTTCAATCAAAAATAATGGAGAAAGAATTCCTGATGGTGAATAGGATTCATAGAAGTGGAATAAAGTCTGTTAAAAAATTCAAGAAAGATGTATCGTTATCTAAAACTGCTGTGATTGTATTGGGGTTATTTCTTGGGTCGTGGCTGCCCTTTATCATTATACTGGTGCTGCAAGTATATGGAAATATGGTGACTGACAATTTCCTAATCACATTGAGGGGATTCGCAACATTGCTCGCAATATGCAACTCAGGAATGAACCCAATTATTTATGCATCTAGGATGAGAGATTTTAGAATTGAATTTAAGAAGATTCTAAACATAAAACAGAATCAGGTGGATGTTTTGAAGCAGACTATCAGTACGGGACATATTCACTAGTGGTGTCATGTATGCGAAACATTCACTATTGCATTGGGATCAAATACAGGACACATTTACTAGTGGCATCATGTTAAGGACACATTCACGAGTGGCATAATTTATTACGTTTCAGGCACAGGGTATTTTTATTGCTGCAGCCAAAGAAAGAAAATATTCAGTAGCAATATCAAGAAAGACCATTATGTTGTACACTGCAGTTAGGACACACTGACTTGTATTGTGATTTAATCCTTAACGATAAACTTGAGAACCATTAAGTATTGAACATTTTCCCCAGAGCTAATGCATATGTTGCATTAGTTTGAGGAACCATGATCATATGGATGCAAAAACTAATCTTACAATTAAGGATTATAATGTAAATGAGAAAACAGCAGTACAAACCTAAATATTCACCGTAATCTAATGCCTTGGTCACGTTTGCTCTGATTTTCACTACGGCGCCCTATCGATTGAGTATTTTGTTCAAAATTGAATACAATAATGAGCAAAACAGTAAATTGGCCAGGCACTAGCCGATGGATCGGAGCAAATGTGACCCAGGCATAATTGATTAATAATAACCACTGATTACGAGAGACTTAAGTCCAAAAGGGGTTTTAATTGTTATTCAAATATCCACAAATATACTTAAAATAAAGTATTCATACAACACACTGAATTAGCATTTAGTTTTTTGTCTCACACTAGGGCCATTAAAATAATCAATGCAATTACATGTTATCTGAGAACAAGTTCGCCTAATGGATTATATACATGACAATACATTTGACAGCATTTTATCTTGTGTATTGTCTATCTTTCATTGTTTCATGTTAGTTTATATATCATGCAAAAGTGTTGTACCAGACAGTCATGTATTGCAGAAGTCATGCCAGTCATATTTTCCAATGTTATATTACAATGTATATAAATGTATTTGTCATATACTTTGAGAGCTTGAATGTAAACATCATTTAATTTACTTATTGATAACACGAGAATGGAGATTTCAAAACCATTAAGTGCATTCACTAATCTTGCAATAATTTTGCATTTTGTGCTTTCTGAATAAAATATTCTACTTTCAAAGTGAAGTAAATCTTTAACATTTTTCATTGTGTCAGACCATTAATATTTCATTTTGAAAGGCCATAACTTAAAGATTGTGTTAATGTCCTTCATATGCTACCAGCTGATGTGAAACGATCCATTAGTGCCATTAGCTTTATTATTGAAGGACAATTGAAGAGAAATATAAGTCAATATATGCTAGTATTATTAGAAATACTATTGTTTGGATTGAAGCATTCTGGCAACCTCTTCCTGAGTGTATTGCACAAAATGTAAAAGCAGTGAATATCCATTTTTAACAATCAACTAAAACAGGTTTCATGGTAAAACACTGTTTCATTGGAGTGTTTGCCTAGAAGTCCTTTTCATGACCACACCCACCAATGCAAAGATTGATTGGTTCATATAAAACAGTATGCTTAAAGAAGATGTCCTGCCTTTATTAACTGTAGGAACTCTTGGTAAAGATCCAGCCTATTTATTCTTATGATGAATGGAAGTTTCAATACAAGGACTGCGATCTATAGATGTCATTGCTGAATTTATAATCTTAGTTATATAGGGTTCTTCATCTTTTATTAAACAAGGTTTTAGATTCAGTCAATTAGAACCATGAGATAAAAGAAGAAAAGAAAGGGGTGCAATCAGTTCGCTCACATTGATGCAAACTCAAAAATTGCACTCCCCTTGACAATTGCTAGCTACACCCCTGATTATCTTTAGTCTATGATTTTGTATTGCTGCTACTTCATTGCATCCCCATAGATGAATTGTACTCCTGTCTTGATGTCTCGATGAAGGTTCAAAATCACTTTGAAATTGGAAATCCAGAATAATGCCCAATTCATCAATTCTTCCTGTGTTGATGTTAAGCTGGGATTCATACTGGTGATTCTGACCATGTTTGTCCTGTTATCAGACCCAAGGACAGTGGACAAGATCATGGGGTTAAATGGTAAGACAATATTTGCACCCATGCTATCAAAGTTAACAATCCAAATACATGTTCTCTTAAGACGTGAACACCCCAAAATAAAAAAACACCCTGAAGTGAGTAGTTTCTTCTTCCTTGACAATTTTACTCTTTCAATGGATGGGATGACATTACACAAACTTCATTCAATGAAAAACAGAAGGTACGAGAAGATACATGTTAAAAATGCTATCACAGCTAGTATGACCGTTTTAAGTTCCACCTTGTAAAGAGTAACGTATGTACATGTACATGTAGATGTACTCAAGGTTTTAAATTAGCATCAAAGTTGATAGTTTCAATGTTTACAATTAAAACATTTGATCCAGAATCACTGGCGGATTAGGGGGGGGGGGGGGCCTGGGGGCCCGGGCCCCCCCCCCTTGGGTGGGCCCAGAAAAAAAAAATTGGGCCCAAAAATTTTTTTGGGCCAAACAAGGCCTTCAGGCCCCAAAAAGTGGGCCTTTTTGGTCATTACTGGGCCTTTGAAGGCCTTATTATTTCATTTCAGGCCAAATTTTGAAGAAAATGGGCCTCAAAATTTCAAAATTTGGGCCCACTTTTGGATTTTAGGGGCCCAAAATTTTTTTCCGCGCAAGCGCGGACGTTTCTTTCTCTGACCTGAAATTTGGGCCCCCCCCCTTGTTGGTTCCTGGATCCGCCCCTGAGAATTCATGAGAATATCTTAAATTTTTCGAAGGAAGACATTAATAGCAAAATGTCACTACCTGCCATTGTAGATGCTATACTTTGTTACCTATGCTGTGTTACAGATACAAAACCCTGAACACTATCCACAAAAAAGTTGAGACTAACAACACGATTCCGCATACCAAAATAATATAATGTTACTGGGGAATTGCGTGAAATTAATAACTAACTAGTAAACATACACACTATAAATTCAATATTTTTACTTATGTAAATCAATGATTTTAAATGCCATGTAAATAAGGTTGTTCAAAGATGTAACCGATTGTCAATTTGTTTATACTTTTACTTAAAATCCACTCGTAGATAAACTTTCTACTTAAGGCAATGGATATTACATCTTGGTACCCTTTTGAAATATAAATAATGGTTCCATTTATATAAAAAGCAAGTAATTTCTGTCAAACTCACGCACAGGAAGAAACAGACTACTATTCTAGTACCTAACTTTCAAAAAAGCAAAAAATGAAGTTACACATTACAAGTTGCAATTTGGGTGGTGAAGCAGCATTTAAGCCATCTTTAAGACAAATGAAGGAAATGAGCCAGAGTCTGGCAAGTTCCAGTGTCTCATGTTTAGATTAATATTCATTTCACACCTTCAGCATTTAGTCTCTCATCCTGTATATTAATAGGTGTGATCTCAAATCTCTAAAGAAGATAAGTAAATAGTGAAAGTTAAGATTTTATGAAAACATGTTTATCAGATTATGATACCACAAGTTTAGTGCAAATATAATACTTGATAAAGTAATTAACTTGTGGTGAAGTTTCTCCATTGAATTATAGGCAATAATATGGAATATAAACTTATCATTAACAAAGAATTTTGTAATATTTGGAAGAAATAACGCATATGGATGTGGGAGTAATTACAAATATATATGAAAAACACAAGGAATTAAGCCAATTTGGAAACATAACTTCTTGCATATAAGAGTACAGTATATGCAATACAGACATACCAAAAAGATGCAGAAATAAAACAGACAGAAAAAACCTTACAATACAGATATAATCCAACAAATATGACATCACTATGGATACCAACAGAAGACAAACAATGAAACTAAATGGAACAATACATGATTCTGCAGTAGCACTGAATCTTACAAAACCTCAGAGTGACCCGAACTATCAGATAGTAACCCAGATTGCTATTTCTCCAAAAGAAGACTTAGAAAACATAAGTGACAACATTCAACAGAATTATGACATCGGCGTAATAATTGTAATAATCATTCAAGTGATACTTATGATTCTAATATGCTCAGGGAATATTCTAGTTATTTACACATTCTACAGGAGACGTCACTTAAAAACTGTGACCAACTTTTTAATAACACATTTAGCTTGTGCAGACCTTAGCGTAGGACTCTCTCTACCTTTCCATATGGCAATATTGCTCAATCCTGACCTACTTCAGAATATTATTGCTTGTGTATTTAGATATTGTACTTTACTCATGAGTGTATCTGGGACTTACATCTGCTTGCTATTCATCACTTATGATCGCTATTCAGCCATTCTGTGGCCGTTAACTACAAGGGACGAGCGTGAGAGATTCAGCTTTCAGCACGCTGTTATATTGGCAATTACGATATGGATTTTACCAATTGGTGTGGGATTCATTCTCCCGATGCTATGGAACAATGATACTACCCTTCTAACAGGATACAAATGTGATTTGGTCAAAGTAATGAAACTGGACTATTTACGATTTTGTATATGTCCATTTTTTCTTGCAACTTGCACGATCATGGTCTATATGTACATTCATATTTTCATCAAATCTCATAGTCATTTTAATAGGCTTGCTCGCACCAGTATAACAACAGTTGAGATCCGCAGTCGGAGCTTCAATGGAAATATAACTCTAGCGAAAACAAGCGCGTTAGTCCTTGGATTATTTTTTCTCTGCTGGTTGCCATTTTACACAATCCTCATGCTTCAGGTTTATGGCGACTTAAACCTTCCAAGAACTAGAACACTGGAGGTTAGAACCATTGCTATGTTATTGGGAATCACAAACAGTGCTATTAACCCCTTCATCTATGCTTGGAGATTGAAGGACTTCAGACATGAGGCAAAGATGTTGTGTCTAAGGAAAAGATACTCTCCACACAGGGTTTTGGTAAATAGACGATCCTCCAGTAGGCGTTCAAGTACAAACACAACATATCGTATTGCACCCTCTAGAGCAAGCCATGAAGAGAGATTAACTGAGACATTCATGATAACAAGTTTATAACTCCAAAGTACTCTTGATCTGATAATATATTCTGTATTCTGATAGTTCCAATTCACAATAAACATAATATATCAGGGTTCTCACCAGAAAAAGTACCTTAAATATTGTTAAAAATCTCTACAATTACTTGTTTAGTTACTTGACTGCCTGTAAATGGCAGAAAATATCATAGCACTTCTGCACATCATTCTCAATGATGCTATGTGTCAAAAAGACATTATAGTAATATATCATATCTCTGACATTATTTGGGCATCTCATGACAGATATGATATCCTTACATTACTCAAAAACATAGAATACCAATTGTATTTTCTACATGTAGACAAAGTTATTTGTTATTATCAACTGATGCTGTATAGTAACATACCCTTAATGTGTACACTGAGAGCATATGTTACTTATGTACTGTAGATGAATCTCTCTTTTACAGAAGCAAATAATCAAACTATTGGTTCACATGTACTGTAGATAAGCATACTTGTTGTTTGTACTCACTTAATGTGCTCATGAAGCCTTGTTTCTCTGGTGGGTGGAACGCTGAATTCTGACTCTGTTTAACTACATCTGAAGCATGAAGAAAGGTGGAAATATTACAAATAGATAAAAACCTTGTATATTTTTTGCCAAGAAAAAAATTCAGATTTCGTAGGTGTTCACTACACAGAAGGTAATTTATACAGAAGTCAGTAGAGTATATGTGGGGGGAGGGTGTCCCCTAGAGAGAGGTGTTCGCTAAAACAGGTTTTATTGTACATTGTAATACAAGTGACACTTTAAAGGAAACTTTTTAAACAGAGTAGAGAAATATAAGTATTTGTGAAGGAATAAAATTATAATATGAATAATTCCTTTTAATAATACATCAATTATTTCAAAACCAGAACTAAAATTTCCATCATTTTTCTGATAGTAACCAACCAAAATATAAACTAAAAACTCCACCAACCTTTATTTGGTACAGTGTGAGATTCCTCATCAGAGCTATCTGCTCCATCATCTGAACTACTCATGACCCCCACATCAAATGGGGAGTGGGCGGAGGGGGCGAATGGGGAGGGACCTGGGGATGGGCCTGGCGATGGCTCATATGAAAGTGCTGGGGATGGCTGCATTTCTACAAATACAAAATGGAGCATGAACAAAAGAATAATCTACAATAAAAGTGAAAAATGACTATACATATTACAAACCTGTGTTTCTTAAGCATGACTTACATAAGAATGACCTGCATGAACATTAATGACATTATACATGACTTCAGCCAACATGAGCATTCAGTATGACTCCCAGAAATGTGTGATTCAATCCAATTTTCATATAAAGCAAAATCCTATTTGTAAACTATTGACGCATTATCAAATTCAACTACATATGAACCTATATCTGTTGGACTGTTCTTCTTTTTTCGTTTATCAGGTGATTGTTTTCCTTTTTTGGAGCCTGTTCTATCTACAGGTGTGACAGGTCTGTTGAGCTGTTGCTGAGCTTTGCTGGAACCTTCTTTCCTGAAACAACAAAAACAAGTTAACACCTAATTGACTAAATATTACATCTACAGTACTTGTAAATTCTTGCCATTCCATGTGTGGTCTCAAAATCCAAATCTGTGCATTATGTGATATTTTAAGGCTGAAGGCAGAGGAGCTGGTGAGAAATTCATACTGGACACATACCTTGTTTTTTTGAGCTGGATGGTACTGGTGAGCTTCTCTAGGCTGATCTCTCCTGTATCATGGTTAATTATAAGAATGCATTCTTTCTGACATGGTCGCTTAGGCCCTTTATATACAGTATTTGTGGTACCAGCTCCCTGAAATGAGCAAATACAGGTACATATGTACATGTTGTTCAATAAATTTTGGTCTCTTAAACTGTTGTAAATGTAATTTAGGTATAAAGATAGAGATTATTGAATGTTTGGCAAAATATAGTAAAATCTGTATTATCTAAAAACCTCTGTAATCAGAAAACCTCTCAATATAACCACTTTCTCTCTATAGGTCAGCAGCTGAGCAAATTTAAAAAAATAAGTTTGTCCCCTAAGTTTCTCACTGGATTCATGTAGAGCAAGGTCTTGGGCTTATTTTGAGCTTGGGTTCTCTGTCCTAGCCCCGGCAACGAATGTGAAAACTGGTCCTATAGGTGGCGCCCCCTACAATTCACCCCCAAACTTAAAACTAATTATTATTTTCATAATTTAAACATAAAGACATCTCAAATAAATTAAATTGATCAATGGTACATTAAATTATGCATTAAGAATTTTTTCAATGTGTGAAAATCATAATTTATGGAGAAATAGTTGATTAACCCCTTAAAACGCCCTTATTTTAAAGGGGGTACTTAAGTTAACTTCCGTAACTTTTGTGTTATTCAGGATTCTGGCTTAAAAATATTCCTGAATATGTATAATTATGCTGTTGAGAGACTGCAGTAACCCTATGTTCATAGCTTTATCACTTTTTGAGAAAAAAAATAAAACGTATTTCCATATAATTTGGTTTCGTATTATTTTCAGATAAACCATCATCTATACTTTTTAATTTACTTTCCACACCTTCTACCCATGCATAGTATTGGTAGTTTTCTTTCATTTTAGACCAATATAGATGACTGGAGTTCATAATAGTTCATAATAATAAATAATAAAATAAAATTTATGGAAATAATTGATTTACCCCTTAAAATGCCCCCTATTTTAAAGAGTGTGTGTGGGAGACTAAGGAAATATTTTTGAAATTCACATGCATTGAAAGCTTATGATGTTTGGCAATGAATGTTTTAATATGCTGGTATTCATAATGGTGAGTTTAATATTAATAGCAAATGTAAACCATCCAACATTTCTGAATAAAAGCAAAATTATAATCGATTTTACATCATGAGACAACCCCAAACCTGATAAATTTCCTAGCGACCATTAAGTCCATGTTTTCACCAAGATCCACAATCTAATAACTGAGTTTTAAATACTCTAGCATGCATTCCAAGAGGATGAACCAATGTATGGGCTTATATAATTAAAGATTCAATCTCACCTTGCAGGTTACTTACTAACATGTAAAGTAATTAAAACAATTTGGATTGTGCTGTTACAATGACTGAATTGTGCTGGCACAATCACGTCAACACAATCAAGAGGTACATTTATTTCTCTTTGTTTGCTTCATCAAGTGATCTGAAAGATGAGAAGTAATAATGTACATACAGGGTATTTCATATCTTTGCACCCCCCCATAAACTCATACATCTAGCATTGCTACCCTATCATATCGAAAGTTACATAAGATTGCAAAGTTTCAGAATCAAGGTGTATCGCTGAAAAAAGATACATTGTATCAAAGATTGCGGGTACGGGGTCATTTAGAGGGCAATTCCTTGTGAATCTTGGACTCAGGCCGGTGATCTGTGCACTTTTTCTCATATCAATTTTTAATGATAGAGGTCGCACCAGGGTCCCTACCCTCTCCATAAGCCACTGCAAGAATCCTATCTATACATCTTTGCGCATAACTGTCACACTCATGTGCACTGAACTCTGCTATGATGACAACTGTTTGAAATTTGCAATACAGAAACAGAAACTCAATTTCCCATTAAAATTGCCCTCGAACTGACCAGAAATACCCCTCAAAATGACCCGTACCCACATACTTTGATACGGCACTTCTTTTTTCAGGGATACCGCTGGATTTTGAAACTTTGCAATCTTATGTAACTTTCCATAAGGAGCAAAATATATATAACATGATGGTGTGGCAATATGACATGTATGAGTTTATGGGGGATGTATACATATGAAACACCCTGTATGCATATATTAGTTAAAGTGTCTCCATACAAAGAAAGATATTTACTGGTTGTGTTGAAGTGATTGTGCCAACAAAACCCAGTATATTGTGTCAGCACAATACAAAAATGATAAATAACAATTAGCTCTTCTATAGTCTTTGGTGATTCCCTAGAATGCCATGGAGGTGCTTTAATAGCCCCCTTTTATTCCTTAATAGCTTTACTGATAACCAGTATGCCCTGGTTGTGCTTTAATAACCCCTATTGATTCCTTAGTAGCCCTTGGGGACAACTTAGAATGCTTGGTGTTGTTTTAGTAATCCTGTTTGGTTCTTTAATAGCTTTAGTAATGGCCTTAGTGATAAGATCGCATGCCCTGGTAAGGCCTGGTTGTGCTTTAATAACCCTTATTGGTTCATCAATAGTCTAGGCAATAACCTAGTGTATCCTGGTTGTGCTTTAAACATATGGTTAATGCTTGGTTATGCTTTGATTTCCCCCATTGGTTCATTAAATAGCCTTAGCAATTACCTACATGTAGTATGCCCTGGTTGTGGTTTAATACACCAAATTGGTTCCTTGGTAGTCTGGTTGTGCTTTAAACATATGTTTCCTAAAAGACCTTTGTGATGCTTGGTTGTGCTTAACTCCTATCAGGTTCATGAAATAACCTTAGCAATAACCGAGTATGGCTGGTTGTGGTTTAATATCCCAAATTGGTTCCTTTTAAAGTGATAACCTAGTATGCCCTGATTGGCTCTGATTGAACTTGATACCCACAATTGGTTCCTAAATAACACTAAGTGATTCCTCAGTTTGCTTAGTGATGCTTTAATAATCCCTATTGGTTTCTAAATCTGCCCTAGTACTCCCTAATATGCCTTGCTGGTTCTTTGATAGTCACAATTGGTACTTTAATATCCATTAGTGATTCCCAAAGATGCCCTTGTTGTCCTTTTGTCACCCACATTGGTTCCATGTAGCCTCTAGCGATTCCCTAGTATACCCAGGAAGTGTTTAAATTCATAGCTCTTGGAGACCCCTAGTATGCCTTGTGGTGCTGCAGTATTCCTTCATGGTTTCCTAGATACCCTGATTGGTTCAATGGTCTTTCTCTTGAAAGCTCATGATGGTTCCAAGTAGGTCATCATGGTGTTCTGTTAGCCCCTAAAGAGCACTACAAGGCATATTAGGAAGCACTAATTGTATTGTATTGTATTTTGTTTACCACCAATGAAGGTGAGCAATACCTTTTGGGTATGTCCCGTATATATACGGTCGTAATTTACGTAACTAACACGGAAGATAGACCCAGAAACCCCTCCTTGAAGGAGCACTGTGTTCTTTTATGTGCACTTATACATAGACATACAAGTACACACCACAGCCTTTTGTACGAGTTGCGGACCACTCAGCCAAACACCCTGAAGTACTTCACGCAAACAAGCAATTTTAGTCTTGCCTGAACCGGGGATCGAATCCGGGACCTATTGCGTAAGAGGTACCTGCGCTACCGCTGAGCTACACGGGTGGACTAATGAGTATTTAGAAACTAATTAAAGCTCTCTGGGTATACTAAGGAATTGATAAGGGATATAATGAAACAAATATGGGGTATTACGGCACAACCAGTGCATATTATGATAGCACTAAGGCTATAAAATAACCAAAGAACCAAAAAAGGATATTAAAGCACCTCTTTCATTCTTTATCTTACTAGGGGTTCAGTTAAGACTATTGAAAAACCAACTAGGGATATGGTATGTGTAATATTTTTGTATTGTGCTGACCTTATTGACTGGGTTGTGCTGGCACAATTCCTGCAACACAACCAATAAATACTTTTCTTTGTTTATGGAGAAATATTAATGCATGTACACTTAACAAATATATATATTATTTCTCGTCTTCCTGACCAATAGATACAAAGATACAACATACGAAGAAAAATACTTTCTGCTGGTTGTGTTATGATGATTCTTCGAAAAAACATACATACAGTATCACAGTGACATCAGATTAATAAGTTCTTGCATTACTTACAACACTTTCAAAAAGCTTGATAAGATGGTAATTACAGTTACCACTTCCCTTGCACTTACAAAACATGCAACAATTAATTTTGTTCAGTTCACATAATCTGTTTTGTACGGTGTACCACACTTACTATAATAAAAAATTAGATGGAAGTAGAAATAATCTTGATTTGCGCCATTAAAAATTCAGTCAAAGTGATATCATATTTGAAATCTACATGTAAAATTACATCTAGGAATGTGTTTTTGCAACTTTGAAAGTTTAATTTTCTTTGAAAATGCAATTTCTAGGTCGAAGAGATTCTCCATAGACCCCATGTTAATAAAATCACAAGAAGTGAAATATCTTTGCTTGTATTGGACAGATAATATTTTCTTTTACTGGGTATAATTTTTAATTTGTACTGTATATAACTATCAGATACATAAGGTGATATGAAAATTGAAACACTAAAGCTGATGAATATTCAAGTTTAGGGGAATTTTCTAATACCCTGCCATGTTCGGCCCCGAATTAGCCTCCTGGCGGTGAAACTGGTAACTGCCTATTCGCATCTGGTTTATTACATTGTAAAATCAGATCATCAGGTGATATACAGAATATCCTTTGTATCAAGATCATTTTCAAGAACGAAGCCATATTCCAATGGGTCAAGCTGAGTATTTGATAAAGTCAGATACCGTTGTCACAAATGGCGGACATAACTGTCGCTTCAACTCTTTAATCACTTGGTCCTCATTTCTCATGGGATTTTATCATCACTAATTCTGTGCATGTATTAAGCTCATGTGATGATGTATTATATGAAATCCAAATTTCTATCAAATGGGGTCGTGAATCGCCACAATATAGCGTCTTCGATATCGTCAATGACAACAGAAGCTGAATTTGAGATAATTTGCAAAGACAACAGCATATGGTAAATTATTTATTTATTTAGGAGCAAATTAACTATTAAGTCTCCCACACACACAAGTCTTCAAATTCAAGGATATTTTCAAGCCTAAATCTTGAACGAAACATAAGTTACAGTGAGTTATAGAAGCTATAGTGTATGTATCCCTATATAAGGGGTGTTTAAGAGGTAAATCAATAATTTCTGCTTAAATTTTTTATTATTATTTATTTTAAATGAACTACAGTCATCTATATTGGTCTAAAATGAAAGAAAAGTATTAATACTATGCATGGGTATAAGGTGTGGAAAGTAAATTAAAAAGTATAGATGATGGTTTATCTGAAAATAATACAAATCCAAATTATATGGAAATACGTTTTATTTTTTTTCTCAAAAAGTGATAAAGCTATGAACATAGGGTTACTGCAGTCTCTCAACACCATAATTATACATATTCAGGAATATTTTTAAGCCCAAATCCTGAATAACACAAAAGTTACGGAAGTTAACTTAAGTATCCCCTTTAAAATAGGGGGCGTTTTAAGGGGTTAATCAACTATTTCTCCATAAATTATGATTTTCACACATTGAAAAAAATTTTAATGCATTATTTAATGTACCATTGATCAATTTAAGCTATTTGAGATGTCTTTATGTTTCAGTTATGAAAATAATAATTAGTTTTAAGTTTGGGGGTGAATTGTAGGGGGCGCCACCTATAGGACCATTTTTCACATTCGTTGCCGGGGCTAGGACAGAGAACCCAAGCTCAAAATAAGCCCAAGACCTTGCTCTATATGAATCCAGTGAGAAACTTAGGGGACAAACTTATTTTTTAAAATTTGCTCAGCTGCTGACCTACTACCCCAATTTTGCTATCTCTCAATCATTGAGGATTCAACATCAGATTATCTTAAATTTAAATAAATAAATATTTGAGCCAACTCAAAAATCCAAATATTTACAAAAATGTAGATATGTTGACTTTGTTTGGAAATATTCCGACAAAAAAAGTAAATAGTACTGAGATAAACTTCCAATGAGGATTACACAAGGAGTAGTAAGTAGCAATATGGAGAGGGCGAGTGTCATCAAATTTAACACAAGGAATGACTTTTAAGAATGTAGGAATGTAGTTAAAACAATACGATGACACTTGTATTTAGTTGTCAAATATTGCTGATTTCAATGATTTGCCCAAATATATTCTACACAGTTACCTTATGTACACTATTTATGAGTTAAAAACCCCTTTAATGCAAAAGTGGGGTGTCATAATAGAATTAATTAAATGATAATAGGAATATTTACCTATTTTGAATTCAAAATGGCCCTTTGAAGGTATAAGAGGAAATGTGAGATATCATACTAAGAAAGAACATATGCATTAAAGTAGAAAATCCACAAGGATTGAATCAATATAGAAATGATGATCCTTTTTGTATTACTGTATCTTACCTCAACATGGGGAACTTGGATTGTAACTTCATTTTTATCATTTATGTCAACACTGCTGACTTTAGAGGCATCCACTGAAGCTGGTTTAAAGTCATCTGAAATTAAAATAAGAGTTTGATGTGCTCTTTAGTCATCAGAAAATCATGGCCAGATTATCATTTAATGGATTATCATTTAACGGATTATCATTTAATGGATTATCATTTAATGGATGTATCTGTGAATTAAGAGGGATCATTGTAAAACACTCAGAAAAGGCAGGTCATAGTTCTTCATCATACAATTTGAAGTTTGTAATTTATTACATTTCATCAAATAAATTTTCATTGATCATCAAAAAAAGTTGACTCCTATTAAAATACAACATAAATTTTCGTTGATCATCGAGAAAAGTTAGACTCCTATTAACCTCTTGAGTACACAGAATGATGGATATTTCTGTCAGAAATTGAAAATTGAAACTGCTCTAACTTTGACAATTTTTATCCAATCTACACAAATTATGTTTTAAAATGTATGTAATGGGTCCATGTTTACTTTTCCTACAAAATCAAACATCATGTCTAAAAAACTGGCAAAATTCTTAGATTTTGAAGTACTTTTAGAAGCTGGTATTCAAGAGGTAAAAGATAGTGGTAGGTAGATAATGGGGATTTAAATCCCCGCCACTCATTCAGGATCTGATGCAACAGAGCCCGGATTCAGATACATAAGAAGAATCATAAAATACTCAGGAATTTATAAGTTATGTGCTCTTTTGTCAATATATATACCAAAACTCCCATATTGTATTCTGTAATTATACAGACAAAGTTTACAAATGGTCACGGGACTATAGACTACATGTAGTCCTGGAACCGGATTAATGTAGCCAACATAGGCCCGGGAACATGAATAAAAAAATTGAGTCAAGTTCAGTACAGTTTGGATCATAAATACTGTAAATGACAGGTGTTTCACTAGAATTTCTTACAACAGGCTAAATAAATGAAAACAACAGGCTAAATAAATGAAAACAACAGGCAAAATAAATGAAAATCATAAATTTTACATGGGAGAGTTGAAAAGTTCTTAAAAGCAACAGGCATTTTTGTAAAAACAACTGGAGAAAATCGCCTGTTGCTAATGAAACCCCTCAATTAGTGGTCAGTTTTCTATTACCACTTCCAAGCCATGGTGGAGTTTCCAATATTGTCTAGATTCAGTACATATCTCCATGGGCTTTCAAGAAAGCCCATGATATCCCCTACAATTTGTAGGGCTTCGGGGAATACACCATGCTAGAATCCATAGGCCAAGTAAAAAGGGAAAAGTAATAGTAAGCTGTATATAGAAGAGACAGGTCCACAAGTAGATTGAAAATTTTTCAAATTTTTTTTAGTCTTGGCACTAGTTCTCCTTACTGGTATCAAATTGTATTCCCAAATCTCTCCAAAATCTTCTTCAAAGTGTTTTTCAAACTTATATCATTGTTTTTTTCAAATCTTTATCTAAAGACTGCATATAATACTTCATATAAAACAACAACTATGGATATCTGCAATTGCCTGGCAAGCTGAAACTGATTGTCACTGTTGGAGGTCAGCAGTGACCAATCAGATCACTTGTTTACTAATGAACTTGCCAAGCAATTGCAGGTTTTCAGAAATTCTCTCTTTTAGACAGCATTATTCACTCTATATCATCTGACTGAGTTTCAATCTTAGGTAAGAGCTACAAACTATCAATTTTCTATCAACTCCCCACGGCTTTTTGAAAATAATACACTAAATATTGTTGAAATCTCCATTTTAAAAAGTGGTCTAAGTCAGAGTTGTTCACCTGTCTCTTCTATATACGGCTTACTATTACTTTACCCTTGGCCTTAGTCCAACAACATTAGACCTAGCCCGGGCCTCGTTTCTTATCTGACATGTGTTATGGCCCGGCTAGGTCTAACCTCCATGACCATTTTGCCTTTGATGCGTTAATTTAATCATTCAGCAGGTTTCGACAAGCGGAACAAATTAAACCCTGAAAACATGGCAATATTACACAAAGAATGTGATTCAAACATGCATACATACCTTATAAACACATACACCCCGTCCCGTATCCCCCTTAGACCCTATTGATGCATAATTACGAAAATATTGGAGACAGGTTTGGAAATGACGAAAATGTCGGTCAGTTTCGGTAACATCGAAATTGCAAATCGTTTCAGGAATTAACCGTCATCACGGCACTGCATTAATGAACAGTGGGTTTGCAATTAATAACTATTTTGCGTGTATACACGCGCTATATAAATTAATCAAAGATACCTGTTATCCTCAAAATTGATCTTTTTATCCCGAGTAATCGCGATAATAATTATCAATCTATTTGACAACAATTTCGTTTCGCTGGTAGTTTAATTTTACGATCCGGGACACTCAGACGAACAGACACAATGACGGACATGCGGAATGTCACTTTAGAGATTGTTAAGTGTAGCCTCATTTTACTCGTATAAATGAACATTTAACACAAAAATATTGTGTTAAATCGCTTGATGTTATGTGTTTTTATATTATTGTCAAGTATCAGTTGCACGTTATCGCGGAAAAATGGTTTCGATGGATTCAGAACTTGCATCAAAGGAAAGAATAGTAAGGAGGTTAAACTCAATAAGGGCCCCAAGAAAATTCCTAATAATAAAGAACGCCGTTATTGAGTTTAACGACGTTGAACTACCCTTGGCCTATGCTAGAATCATTAAAAGATGAACAGCTATTCACCATGATAGTATGCAATATTTATATACATGTAATATCCAATCCAAATAATATTTCTATATTGGATATTATAAAAGATTCTGCCATTTGCACATGAATCTATTTTATTTTATTACTGAACTCAACTCGATTTTTTATAGCAAATGGTGGACAATCTTGTGGGGAATTCATTTTTACGTAAAGTGAGCCAGCTTCAACAACGTAAGTTGACCAACCAAATCATTACTATCATAGAACATTGTGAATAGCTCCCTGCGGTGGTAAAAGCAACAGATTGAAAGAACTCACATCGAACTGAATGAAATCCGACATTTGAAGTCGGGTCAAAACTTTGTCCGAGTCGCAATTCATGGGATTTACTGTCCATCACTAGTCTTTCTGCCATCTCTCTATGTAGTGGTTTCACAATTATTAATATAAAACTAAAATATTATCCGTATTATCTAGTATTATGGCATAAATTCTGTAAAATCTGGAACTTTTTTATTTTTTCCTACAAACCGGAAGCTTTATTTTACTATCACTGTACGAAAAGATCCTAGTGTAATTCCCGGGAATTCGTGAATACCTTATAAATAGGGGAATCTGTTATTTGTGGCCCCTACGTGTTTGAAGTTCATATAAAATCTTTTTCAATTTTCTAATGCTCATTACTGAAGGATTTCCCTGCATCTCACATCTCAGGTCTTTCAGTAGGGAATAAGACTGTGTGTCATGTGGGGTTCCGGGGGGGGGGGGGGGGTAGGTGTAAATGAATCAAAGCAGAGACATATAAAATATACCCAACTCATTTTCCCCACTGAAGGACATCTTTTGGATAGACTCTTTGTGTCTTATAAGTGTCTTGGATACCAAAAATAAGCAATCAAAGGACCCACAGTGTAATTTTATACAGGGTGTCCTCAAAAAATGCCACCCACTATTTTAGGAATAACTTTCTCAATAATGAAAGAATCCTCATGTTTTAATGTATAGATAGAGTGTTCAATAGAAGAAAGGATTGGTATGCTTGCATAGCATCAACAACTTGGAAATTAAGAGATATCCCATTTTCAAGGAGGCATGCTCTGACACAAATTCACTCAAAAATGTAAATTAGAAAATCTGTCAGTTCATCAAGTTTGACAAAATTATTTTAGAAATGTGGGTTGACATATTAATGATAATATATGTGAAAGCAATTAAAAAATGACTCAATTAATGGCTAAGACAGAAATCCCAATTTCAGAAAATTGTATTTTTGAACATTTTTTGATGATTTCAATGAAAGCATACATGAACCTGGATGGAAAGCATAATACTTCAAAATCTCAGTTGTTGATGCTATACAAGTACATCAATCTCTCTTTCATTGAACACTCTATCTTCACAAAAATCATGAAGATTACTTCATCATTAAGAAAGTTATTTCAAATATAGTGGGTGGCATTTTTAGGGTCACCTTGTATGAAAATATATATTTATAATTCAGAGGCAAAATGTTTATTTGTTATAGTTTGATTAACATATTACATTATACATGTATACACACCCTCTAATATTGTGATGCCTCTCTGGCATGTTATTTTTAAAACTATTTTCAAGGTTGAATACAAGAGGCCATGTTGTTAGGCTTACTGCATTAAAAAACTAAAAATAAGTTTTGTCCCTAAAATATGGATGTATTTTTGCATATTGCACTGTGATCCAGTTTGCTCCTTTTTGGTTGATTGACTCACAAAAGGTGATCAGGATTCCGGTTAATCAAAAGGACATAATAGTTTTAGGTGTATAATATTATAGTGTTTTATTTTCATAATTTCAATTCAATAATACTTTACATTTTATTTTTCATATACACTAATAAATCAATGCTGCTTGGTGATTGCAATATTCATTGTTATATATTTTTCCCTACAACATTTAATTAATTTTCATTTTTGTAATAAATTTTTCTTTGCTGCAACGTTTGTGAGAAGTTCTTTGAACATTGTCTCTACACCATATCCTGTTGCTGTTGATGTCTCAAAGTAACTGCAATTATAAAGGAAAACAGTCATCAAAGAAAGAATTGATCAATGGAATATCAGAGAACTATCTAACGTTATGAAACAAATAGGCATTAACATGAGAAAATGGCAATATCTGGTAATGTATGGCAAAATGTGCTGGCTACAAAGAATTGGTCATCACTTCTTGTTGGTGATTTCTACTAGATAACATCAGATTAATTCTTTACATGCAGATAAATGCTAACCTGAACTTATGTTGTGTTGCCCATCTTCTAGCAGATTCCTCTTTCACATTTCTTTTAGCCTTCAGATCATGCTGGAAAAGTGGGGAAATAATACTTTTTATACACGACCAATTAAAGTAGAACAGTTTGCATGCCATCTTTTAATTCATATAGTTATGATAATCACACTATTTTTCACAACATGTGTTTCTTAAATTGCGGCACTTAAGTCATGGGTTGGTGATGAGTAGTATGTTTGATTTGGAGAGTGTTAAGGTGCTATGGAAGTTAACAGGAAATGACAAAACATAAAATGTCAAAACCATGCTGGATTTTGAAAAATTTTTGAACCAAGATAACAGAGTTCTGTTTGGACCTCCAGTCAGTTTAACTAGTTCCACATATCATTTACATGACCAGGAACACAATGAAAATGGTCAGAATGACCATAAACATGGTGAAATAACCTTTTCAGCCCTCTGAAAATATGACTGAAAAATAGCTAAAAGTAGGTGCTCAGGAAAGGTCAATGAACAGAATCTTTTGATTTTTTCAGAAAATGTGTCTATTATATTGCTCTAAATGATACAATCTTTGAAATTTTAAAAAATCGTCTGAAACAATAATGGCTGTAGTTAAAAGGAAAATAGATCAATTTTAAATTTTTTAAATTGTATCATTTAGAGCAATATATTGGGCACATTTTCTGAAAAAGTCAAAGGATTCTGTTCAGTGACCTTTCCTGAGCACCTACTCTTGGCTATTTTTCAGTCACATTTTCAGAGGGCTGAAAAGGTTAATTCATCATGTTTATGGTCATTCTGACCATTTCCATTGTGTTCCCAGTCATGTAAATGATGTGTGGAACTAGTTAAATTGACTGGAGGACCAAACAAAACTCTGTTATCTTGGTTCAAAAATTTTTGAAAATCCAGCATGGTTTTGACATTTTTTGTTTTGTCATTTCCTGTTAACTTCCATAGCACCTTAAAGGCCCTATATAAGGTTTGAAAATATTCTTTAACAATCAGCTATGATTTATTGCAAATTAATTGAAAGCTAGACCAAAATAATTTAATTATTTGGTTAAGATTATTAACACTATTGTGACATACCATTTTCAGAATACCATTAAAACTTTGGTAAAGGTCATATTTTTCATTTTTAGGCATACATTGTATCCTAAATTTTACTTTTACAATTTTGTGGTGCCATGATAGATTAAAGTCCTTCAAAACACTTTTTAAATAATCGCAAGATTCACATATCCTTTTGATAACACAAAGGTTTGCCAGAAGTGGTGTAAAGTTTACATGGTGCCTTTAATTGAAAAATATAAAATATAAGAAATGATTTTTGGATTTTGTTTAACATTTTGGCCCATTTTGTGATTATCAAAGTCTTTTTGGATTTTGAGGTTTCTAAATAATAATAATGACAGCCTGGGTAATGTACATGTACATGTATATGTACAGGGTATGTATAAGGGAAAATCTGATGGGCATTCAAGCATACATATGACATTAAGAGTGCTTTTCAAGTGCTTCTTCTTACCTTGTTTCCTACAACAACGATTTCTGGCTGATGACCTTGAGAATATTTATGAATTTCTTTAAGCCAGTTTTCTAAGCATTCAAAACTTCCAGGATTTGTAATATCAAAGACTAGAAATATGGCATCAGTGTTTGTGTAGAGTTCATTCCTGACATCTATGTATTCTGCATTTCCTGAGAGATCCCAAAGGTGAACACGCACTGGAATGAAATGTGCAATAATTAACTAACCTCAATGAATAAGACCAAAGCTATGTCTATGCACATGATCATCATCATAAATCTTCAATATGTCTTTATCATTCAGATATATCCTCATTTTTTCAGAAAACAGAATTAGGACTGTCAGACTGTAAGGGTTATATTGGTATAATTTTGAAAAGTTTATTATATTATATGAAACACACTATTCCTTCTTTGTTGAAGAATTGTGAAAACTCAAATGTATACATTTAGGTACATGTACATGTTGCATGTGTGTATACTTACAATCTAAATCAACAATATGTGCAATTTTGAATCCATAATCTACTCCTACAGTTGGTTGATAGACAGAACTGAACTGAAAATAAATTATATTTGAAATATTAAAAAATAACAATTACATACTACAAGTATAAATAAACTGCAATGTAATATAAATTAACATGAAAAAACAATTATACATGGCTATTTATGAAAAAACTACATATATAGTTTGTAAAGGGGGATAGATGTAAATGTATTCTTTGATAAATTTCAAGGCAAAATGGTATATGATGAGGTATACTGTATATCTGGTTCATTTTTTATTTTCTTGTATCACATACTGTACGCCCGGTATTATTCGCGAGCTTTAATTTCGCGAATTTTGCGAAAACACGGTTTCACGGCTATTAAATTTCGCGAATTTCACAAGTTCAGAAGTGCGCGCCGGGCTATGTTTGCCCTTTCTGCGTCGTTGTACACTTTATATGTTCCACGCTTGGACTTCATGTTATTTTAAGCAATTTGACTTTCAGTTTCTATAATATCGTCGATGTCATTATTAAGCCTAGGCCAATTGGTAGTAGTTGGCCTGACTAGCCAACGTAAAATAGACATGTTGGTGGAAATCATCCAATTATCGCCCAATAACACTAGACGAAACGTTTTACACAAAACGAAATGCATTTTGTAGTTCTTCTTACAGATGTAGGAATGGAGGGATCAGAAGTTGACGAAATGCATCAGAGCCCCGGGTAAAAACAAATTCCCGGGGATTTAATTGGCAATTTCGCGACGATAATTTTTCGCGATTTTAACACCATCGCGAAAAGCGCGAAAGTTAATCGCACGCGAATAATACCGGGCGTACAGTAATCACATTTTTTTATGTAAAAATGTATTTAAATCATGTTAGCTGTTATCACCAATTTTACTGAAAATATCCTTTTCAAATAAATTATGTAAACAGACTGGAGTGACAAATGCCATTGTTTCTTACCTTACTTTCACAGAAGTGTTTGATTAGGCAAGTTTTTCCAACTGAAATATTACCAACACCGATCATCTAAAACAAATAAAATGCAAGTGAGTATATGCAATTACAGTACATAGATTTACTAGTGCATGAATTTGTTAAAGCACAGTACATCTACATGTAATTATAAAGTAGTTCACATGTAAATATATTTAAAAATGAGAATGGTGTATTGTTTTCAAACAAAACAGATATAGCTGTATATTCATATATACTGCACACTATACATCATGATTTACTAATAAAACTGTGTAAATCAGATACAGAGCTTATGAATGAGAGCAACCCAACATTATTGGGGGGGGGGGGTAATTCAATGGAAATGTACATGTATTTTAGACCAAATGTCTAAAATACTTATGTGGGCCTGCCCTGTGTTGGAAACATAAACAACATTTGGAACTGGAAATATGAGTTTCCCTTGAATACATATAACAGTAATAAAAACATTTCTGCTCCATCAATATACAGGTATGCTCTCACTGAACCAACAAGAGCCCTGTGTTTGGGCATAAACTCACTTTTATCCACATCAGTGACTTTGTAACATCCTTCACATTCTTAGTCAAATGTCCCTTTTTTCGATCCATTATATACCAAAAATATGTACAAGATATTCATTTATCGTTCCGAAGTAGTATGGTACATTGACATGACCCTGTATTGTAACAGATATCCGTTTAATATGAACAATTTCATGCAATTTTTCTGAGCAACCAATAAACAAAAAGTGCATCATGGGAAGGGAAATCCCTAAAAAGTAGGTCAAGGTATGCGAAAGGATTTCCCTTCATTTCTACAGATAGTCGACATTGTTTCAATTTGAAGATATGATAATACATAGCATATTTGATTCTTAAGCGCGTTTATAGTATTGATGTATCATTACTATTGTCATATTTGTGACACGTCACTTGTTTATTAAAATGGAAATTCCCTTCTTTGCGCATGCGTAATTGATTTTAATTTACTTCCGGGTGGGAAAAAGAAAGTGGAATTTCCCAACATTTGTTGATATTTAGCGATTTCTACGCTTGCACAAAGTAACTTAACTAACAAATAAGACAATACAATGGGGAAAAGTATTATAATCACGTACATATTGTGGTTTTTGGGAGGATACTTCGGGTTACACCACTTTTATCTTAGAAGAGACAGACATGCATTTGTTTGGTATGCTACATGGGGTGGCGTATTTGGAATAGGATGGTTGAGAGACTTACTAAAAATTCCTGAATATGTTCAAGCTGTTAACCAGGACAATGAATATATGTCAGAGTTGACACAGATCATGCGCATCAAAAGGCGTTCAAGTTTTAGCACGTTACGCTTCGCTGGAGAACTAATTTTGGGTTACCTCTTTGGGTTCTGTTTCCGTCTTGCATTTCCCGAAGAACTGTTCAGCAAGGAAAGCATCTTCAGGATACCACTAGAATTTATTGTTCCATTGGCAATCGCTATTGGTAGGTATTCTGGGGCGATGCATTGATCTGTTGGATCATAATTGAAATATTGACTTGACATACTAAACACCTGCTATCTTTATATTCGCTTAGCAAAATACAGTTAAACCTGTACAACGTGAACACCTCTCAATCTGAACACATACTTGGTCCCAAATTTGTCATCTCCGATTGACTCACATATTGAAAAAAAACTTGAAATGTGAATACCTACAAATCTGAACACTTTTGGCCGGTTCCAGAGGCCTTTGGATAAGACTGTTTTACAGTATTTGTCATTATTTTTATCCTTACTTTCATTATCCCAACGAACGAAGGTAGGGATATAGTGATGGTAGGGATATAGTGAAGCCCTCCGTCCGTCAGTCAGTCCGTCCATCTGTCCGGAAGATAACTCAAATATTAGTTGACGGATTTTCTTCATATTTGGTGAAAATCTTTTTTCAAGATGGTCACCGCTTTAAAAATGACGGGACTTTTTCGCAAAAATCATAAATTTTTCATTCTAAACCAAAGTAATTAATATTATTGTTTGAAATTTTGGTAGTATAATTGCAACATCTATATTTTTCACATATATACCGTGTTTTTCATCCTGAACCCCAGGGGCCGTGTATTGGGGGTCAGGAAAACAAAAATTTTCGCTAATTTTTAGATCTTTCTGAAGTATAGCTTTATTATACTCAAATGAAAGGCAATTAAGAGTAGATTGCAAATATTGTATCTTTTTTCTGATTCGAGCCTCGTAAAATTCAAAATGGCCGTCTAATGTACGATTTCGCAATAATTTTTCGATCCCTTCAAAGTATGGCTATATTATACTCAAAATGAAGGAATTTTGGAGTAGATCACAATTATGGTATTATTTTTCAGATTTATACCTCAGAAAATTCAAAATGGCTGCTTTGCAGGAATTCGCAATTCCAAAATCTAAATTTTTCAATTTTAACCAAAGTAATGAGTATAATTGGTTGGAATTCGGTAATTGATATTTTGTTCGTTGGGATTTGCTACTCTGCGGAGTTGCCGTTATCTAGTTGAATTTGAAAACGGCATAAAGGGCCATGAGAGCTACATTTCTTATTTTGATTGTAAGATTTAACCAGCATTAAAATATCATGTTCGTGTAATAATCGTCTGTTATCTATAGTGTGAGAGCACAATACCGTATCTACTATCTAGTGTGTCAAGCCAATATGGGATTCAGGGGTCAAGGTCGCAATAATATTTATTTCATGAAAGTCCAAATTGTTTTAGTTTTCAAGGGTTGACAATGAAATGGAAGTTGCCAAGTGGGAGAGGACAAAATCTTGAATTCTTTTTCAGAATTCAGGTCCTTATGAGAGATTCTCAAAAACTAGACCCATATTTGAAAATAAGACCAAAAATGAAAAAAAGATCAGCATGGCTCCCATTTGTCTGAGAAGAGTTTTATCACAATATGCCTATTCTGCATGATTTGATCAATCTAAAGTATAGATTAATGTGCATGTTCGGTGAAACCTGTAAAATTGAACACCTCTTGAAGTGGAACACCTCTTAAGTAGAACAATTTTAGATGTACCAAAGGTGTTTCACTTAGACAGGCTTTACTGTACCATGATCTTTTATCTATTCTATATCATTTTATTAGTTTTAATGTTCAATAAAGCTCTGACACTTGACACTCAAATGATATGAATGTACTAATGCAAGCATTGATCAATAATTACTAAATTAAAATGAATTAAAACAACAAATGCAATGAATCAATATGCAAACAAACAGATGAGATGGAGATGATTAATACCTCAGTTTTATTTGTGCTTAGACAAAGGTATATGCTGCAGTAGAAATACCTGTATAGTATGAGTCGTTACCTTTCCGTTGTTAGTTATGTTAATTATAATCATAAAGTGGACATCCTTCAGGGTTGGGCTTTACTGCCAGCTTTTCACTGCTATACAGCAGCTATGTAAAGAAGTGAAATGTCCTTGGACCAATGATGTTGACCTCAGGACCTATGTTGGTGAATATATGCCTCTGACTGTCACTGTAAACCCTTATGATAGTAATCTAGTAATCAAGTAACTAAACATGTACTTTTAATTCAGTGAATTTAATTATCTTTCTATGTTTCAGGTGTACACACAGTAGCTAATATAGGCCATGATAAGTGTTCAATGAAATGGCCCCTCATTGGAGCGTATATTACATTTCCTATTCTCCTGTATGGAGCTGAATATATGCTATACACTGTCCTCGCCAGTGCCATTGCCGCCAACTGGAAAGGGCGAGAATGGCGGAGAACATATCCTGAAAAATCGCACGTTTGTAAACGATTTTTAATTCTGGCTTTGTGCTGTACATTATACACAAGTACATGGATGAGTATGTTCTATAACAATGTGTATGTGACTAATGAAATGGGGGAAAAGATTCGAGTGAAAGATGCTCTGAAACATTTTTTCAATTCCCCAGCTTGGAAACAGACAAAAGAGAGTCTGCATGATGTTTGGGAATATTATCAGCAACATGGCTGGGAGAAGATGTATGAAAAAATAGTTGAGCAGCTAGATCCCCTTGGGGAGGAAAATGCGTACAAGGTTAGTATTTGTAATTGAATTGGTATACAAGGCTAGTATTTAATTTGCATACAAGGCTAGTATTTGTACATGTGCAATTTGAGTTGACATGCAAGTAAGTATTTGTAATTTGAATTGGCATGTAAGATTATATTTGTAATTTGAATTTGAATTTGAATACAAGTTTTGATAAATGGAATTAGCGTATTGAATCACCCAGGCCAGATTACCTATGTATTTTGTAAAAGTAATCGTTTAATTAGAATAAAAACATTGAAATTATCAAATGTGGCAAAGGTCATTACAATATCTTATGGAAGTGTGATGGACAAGTCTCATATTTAATTTCATTGCAAATTAGTTGTACATTCGCTTAAATTTTTTTGAGATTTAAGAAAGGCTGAACATACATACACTCATAAGAAATATACAATGATATTATACCAGTTTATAAATCCTATGAAACAAATAGAGGTGGTTGAGGTTGAATGAATTATCTGACTTTAACAAATTGGTATTTTACATGTAGGGTAATGTCCAGAAAATTGTTAACATTAAAGATATGAAGTTTGGTTCAAAGAATTAAATATATTCCAGGTGCTTGGGTTAGAGAGGGGGGCTGACCAGAAGGAGATAAGACGTCGTTATAAAGACCTTGCTCGTGAATTGCATCCAGATAAAGTTAAAGATCCGAAAGAGAAAGAAGCTGCACAGGAAAAGTTCATGGAAATCCAGCAAGCTTATGAGACATTATCAGATCTTAAGGAACGTAGAAGTCGCAAGAGTGGTAAACATAAATATGCAGAGTCAAGAACAGAATTCTAGTGTTCGAACAAACATATTGACATTGTTTATCATCAAAGTTTTTACATAGTGTTCATTTCATTCCATCAAACCCTTGTATTTCTCTCCATTCTCCATAAGACTGGTGAATGCTAAATTGACAAAAAGGGGATAAGAAGAGCTGTCTCGCAATCTTCTTTTGACTGGCATTGACAGATTTGGTAATATTGTACCATTATGTTCATCTCCCAACTAAATGTTTCATTTTGAAAAGATCGCAAAAGAATGCTGGGAGCAAATCCTTCTTTGGAGCTTGGGAGATGATCAGAGATTTGGTGAAAGACTAAAAGCTTTAATTTTTTTACACACAAAGCTTATTATAACAATTGTTAATAAGATGTTCAGAATCATGCTTATTGAACTTGTGGTGTCAGGTCACTAATATTAACTAACTTGAAAAGCGGCACATCACAAGCGACAGTGGCAATTGAGGTGCTGACTTGCTTATTTTTATTTGCCTATCTGATATTACTACTATTTAACATTTAATCAAGTATTACTGTTTATTACATTATCTCTAAGAAAACATATTTTTTTGCTCTCTAAGATATCCAAGATATCGCAATATTGTTATATTATATCCCCATCTTTATCGAGAGTCAAGTCCATATTTTTCATTTTAAATGGATCAGCTGAAGGACCAAACATTAGGGCCATCATGAAATAAGGGGGACATTTATTCAAGAACTTTCTCAGAGGAGTATCACAAACAATATACATGTACATGTAATACATGTAATAGTATACAATTTTGTCTTGATCATGGATATATGCACAAATATGACCACTCAACTCACAAGGCGTATTGCTTTTTATTTTTATTAATCATGTTTTATTATGTCACCACCAAAAAGTGATGACATAATTGTTGGTCTCTGTTATTTTTGTGATGGCAATTGGCAGGAGGCGGTTGGCATCAGGCAGGTGGCGGTTTGTGGTTGGCATCTGTAACAAATTCTTACAACTTCCAATAACTTAACAAATACTGTTTAGACTGACTTCAATTTTTTTCAAAATCATCTACCAGTTCTAAGAAGTTCAAATTTGACTTAGATTTGACCTTCAGTGACCTCAAGGTCAAAAAATGTCAAAAAAGGTATTTTTCAACTTGCTTCAAGTTGACCATTTTTTTGCAAAATCATCTACACGAAATCAGAAGTTAAAATCTGACTTGAGATTTGACCTTCAATCACCTTCTCTAGGTCAAAAGAAGGCCAAAAAAGTATTCTTTCAACTTGCTTCAAAATGACTCAACTTTTTTCAAAACCATCTACAAGTTCTCAGAAGTTCAAATCTGACTTAAGATTTGACCTTCAGTAACATTCTCAAGGTCAAAATAGGTCAAAAAGCTCTCTTTTCAACTTGTTTCAAATTGACCACTTTTTTTCAAAATCATCTACAGACAGAACTCATAATATCGTGAGCAATTAGGTGGTGACATTTTGTCATGTCAATGCCTTGTTACATATAGTGATTACATACAAAATGAAAATTACAGAGAGCAACTTTGTGTTTACATTAAAAGTTGCAGGGGTAATGCCCCAGGTTGCCTGAATAGGTGATAAACAAAATACAGTTCAGTGTAGTGCAGTGCAGCCAATGCACAGCGCTGCACCACTCTGCACTGCACTATGCAGTGCAGTACAGTACAGTACAGTGCAGTGCAGTTTAGTGCAGTGCAGCCAATGCACAGCGCTGCACCACTCTGCACTGCACTATGCAGTACAGTACAGTGCAGTGCAGTGCTGTGCAGTGCAGTACAGTATTCATTCACCATGGTGGAAGTTATCTTTAACTAATGTTAAGATGGACCGTCTGTGTCTTCTCAGATGATTTTGTTATATGCAATTTGACATTTCCAGATAGGGTCATCTGAAATACATATTATGAATTGTTCTGGGAATAAGGCTTATTTAATGATATTTAATATGCACTCTTACTATATACACAATTATGTACTCATGTATCCACTACATCTTGAAGTACAAAGTTGAAATAAACATTTTATAAAAAAGCTTGTTAAAAATGTATTTTTAATTTTGAATTGTGGTTCCTCAACAGGAGGTATACCGGGGCAAAGTATCATACATGTCGATTTCAATCAAACGTTTGTTAAGTTCCCGGGTTAAGTTAGACCTTTGAACGTTGAAGTCAATAATTGTACCTAGCTATGGTATTATTGGTCCAATAATGTGTGACATATTACTAGTATACTGTCGTCTGGTCATCACAGATATTGTACAAATCTCCCCTACCTTTATAACAGAACCTCCTTGTCGAGTCACAATTTCCTAACATACACTGTACATTCATCACTTAAAAGATGTTCTGCAATTTTATCTGTGAATTCAATCTGAGACGATCATAACATGTTTTAAAAATTTTAGGTTAGTCTCAGATTCAATTCAAGTTTTCAAACCGGGGTTTCTCGCGAATAGTAATCCCATTGGCGTTTATTTGAAAGGCGTGCATGGATTTTCCCTCTTTATAGAGGCCCATGGGTGTTCATTTCGATGACTTTTCAATGAAGGCACATTGGGCAAAAACATTCGAGAAAAGGATTGAAATTGCTAATCATAAAAACAGAACATAGTTGGGGTAAAATTGACAAGATGTTGCAAGTGTGAACTTTACGATCGATAATATCCCTCGAAATAAATGCACACTGGCTTGGGAAGGCTATTTTCACTTTTAATAAACGCCCATCCCATGGGAAATATGGTGGACGTTTATATATTTTGAGTTCTTTCAAATAAACCCCCGTGTAAAATAAAAGCCCATTGGGCCTGTTCGTGAGAAACTCTTGTACAGGTTAAAGGACCGAAACGTTGTAGATACCAGTACGTCTGCTGATGACGTTCGTTCCCAGTCGTTCAGTCTTGTAGGGGTGACATTCCAGATATATTTTTCTCATTTACCCATACGATACGTTTAGTCTCTCGTGTTACTAATTTGTTTGGCCAGTATGGAACAACATGGACGAAATGGTACGTAGAACATGCACATGCCCATAGGCCGACGGGGGATGGAAATTATTTTTTAATAAAAAAGAGCAGGTCAATCATATGAGCTTGAGAAAGGTTAATACAAATCTACCCCCGGGAATCTACCACAGCTGACATCTTTATATCGGCATAACACATGTATGCACACAGGGCATTGGCATTGGTGCTGAATCCAGAATCATTCCGTCTGAAGTTGTTGTTTTTAAATCTGCACGATCGCATAGTGGGAATACAAAGTTTAGGAAACAATGCCCAAGTGGAATGAACCAGCCACAATGCATCTTGGACAATTCATGAATAATTTTCATACGTTGAATAAAATATTTTCGACGAAACCACCTACAAGATACGAAATCACTAAAGAACATACTTTCAATTAAACTATTTGCAAGGGTGAAGTTGGCATAGCATTAATTTCAATCTCGAGACTAGAGTAAGTTGAGAAATGATGTCAATGATTTATCAATCATACATTTATATTCCAAGTGTATTTGCTATTATTGTGCATGATTTAATGTGGTATTAGCATCGATATCATTGTTGCCCAATTGTTTTGGTATAGTTATCTGTAAGCGAATATTATACATTTAGGGAGTTGTTAACATGAATATGTTCGGAATGAAATGGAACATCTATCCGAACCAGCTCATTGGAACAAAATGACACATGCACAACGTGTTTAGGTCTTTCAATATCGTAATTGTACTAAGTAGTTCGAAAGGTTGATTAAAAAAAGTTAATGAAATAAAATATTTACTTATATTTTTATATATTTTGTTTTTTTGTTTTAATTTTGTTGAATGCTCTTTGTTAAATGAACCAAAATTTCCTTTGTATAACTATTATATTGAGAGGTCTAAGAAAATGTTGTACATGTTATTTTGTTCCAACAAAGTTCGGAAAAATCTTTTAGTTCATTCTCAGGAATTGGTAGAAAGGACGAAAAACAACTGGACTACAACAAAAGTTGCTCACAAAAACAATAATATAATTCCATAATAACATGTTTTCCCTGGGAAATAAACAGGGAATAGAATTGATCCCGTACCAAATCCCGTTTTGGATCCCGTATCCGCCAAAATCCCGTATCAGATCCCGTATCAGAACTATTCCTGGGGATTTCTCTTGATTTTACATTTTCGATCTAGAACAATATTATGGAATAAATAGGTATTTAATTGATTGTCGTGATGGAATATGAATTTTCCCTCGTGAAAATTTTATATTGGCCTCGGAAAATATTATATTAACACCCGGGTTATCGCCCTCGGTAAAATATGATATTGCCCTTGGCCAATATCATATTTTCTCTCGGAATAAAATTCGTAGTCTATCCCTCCCATTAAAAACATGTATATATTCAGAAATAAGGTCTCATGAACTATGTAACTTATTAATACAGGGTGTTGCACCTAGCCTGTCACAGATTTATATATATGAGATGCTAATGTCAGATCTAGTACATAGTTAGAGATTCATGATATACTGTGGCGAAGTTGAGTCTCTCTATCTTTTACAAAACATGAAAACAAATATAGTTTAAAATATAAATTTATTAAAGAAAAGTTAAAGTCCAAAAATATCATTTCAATCAGTTACTTACAGTTTTTGGTTAGTCCCGAGTTCACGCAACGAGGTTCTGAGGTTTCAATGCCAAAAATGCCTCTTTTATATCCTAATTTTGAAGTGGGCAGAGCCGAAATAAGAGGTCTTATCCAATAAAATATGAAGAAATCTCATGAACTAAAATTGGCCGAAAAATGAATGTTTAATTTTATAGAAAGTCAATAAGGAATAGTGATGATTTTCTGCCCACGAATCTTGAATGTTTACCGAAAGTTTGAGAATTTGGCAGAATTTGGTGGGAAAGGAATGTCTAGACAAAACCTCTGAGCCTTGTCTCATGAACTCTGGATGTTTAATCTAATTATCTAATTTAGTTCATTATCTAATTTATGTCCAAAACACATATTTATACGTCAATTTTCACCCTAAAAAGTATACAATTATTCGTAAAATGTGATGTAGATTATAAAGGTATAAACATTTGCAAAGTATATATTAGCAGTATTGATGTTTTGGTCAGTTGTACTCCAGGTCGTTAGGTTTAATCGCTTTTTACTTTGTTTATCAGAAATTTGCAGTCTTCAAGATGATGCCAAAAACTATCCAAACTTATAAACATCTTAACTAAACATTGCAAAATTTCCCATCAGTTGACTTCATATATCATTTCTGCCACTCATATTTCAAGAATAATCCTTTCGTTTGATTGGCTCTAGATATAGTTCATGCCTAAAAACTGCTCTAATATGATGATAAAACATAGGAAATTAAACTGTTGATATTGTGAAATATCACACTGGGTTTAAAGATCACTAAAACAACTGTTATAATACAAATATAAACTAATCAAAATAACGCAATAATTATAAACATGAGTAACAGAAAAAGATCATTATGACATCAACTGATGTGAAGTGAAATAAGTAGACTGACCAACGAGGTCAGCTATGACTTCGTCACAATACCATATAATATAATGTGCTCCAAGTTCCTGTGACAATTTATTCATGAAATGTATATAAATATAATGAATAAAGCAAATATATGATTGATGAAAAATCAACATAGTTGTGATTTTATGGACTGTAAATTTGAAATGATGGCGTTTCCTTGACGTAAATTTATGAAACTGAGGACTATTGTAACATGGTCATTGTCATTTAAATCAATTGGAATAGCTTACTTTATTATGGTTTTATTATCTATGAATCCACAGCAATTGTTATGAGCAAACACAACGCTGCGTGCAAAACTGCTCTCACAACGTACGTCAACCACATATTACAGAGATACAACAATGCGGCGCTGTTTTCACCTTATGCTATTGCTAGGGGTCGTCACTTTTCTGGCTCACCAGACATTCAGCGAAGAACCAGTAGAAGGTAGTGCATAATTAATTATCTATTTGAATCATCTACTACAGGGTGGGCCAATAAATTTCTTACACATTTTTCTGTTTATTCAATTTTCTCTATTATTGCAGTTCAATCCACAAAAAATCAGATATTGGTAGAATTATGACTTGTGAAAATGCTAAAGATAAAAATTATTTTTATCTTGTCATGGTCATGATCTGTTTATTTCGTGTGTCATGAAATATTCCAAATTTTCTGTGCTCGAGACCTCATAGCTGAAAATACAGTGTAGTGTATCTCATACCATAAAATATGTGCCCTTCAAATGGTCTCAACACAATTTCCATCAATTAAAACATATGAAGCTATCTCTAGGAGAAGCTTGACATGTGACCTCAACTTTTGTCAAAACTGGCACAAAATAAGCCATACATGACTGTCTCATACAGCTCCGACTGATTGTTCAGGTGGGCGGAGGACATGTTCAGGAAACCCTTGCATTGGGTAATTAAATGTTGAGCTTGTATATTCATATTTACACAAGCTATTGACAATGAATTGTGTTTTCGATTTTCTAAGTTATTGAAGATGATGCATAACTAACAAAAAAGTTACAATAGATGGAAAAGTGCTCCATTTTTTGCCCCACCCTGTATATCTAATATGTATATTCAAGTCATAATCTTTGAATGGCAAATCTAGAAGATGAAATGGTGGGCCTTATACAATACAATACAATACAGTACGGTACAAAATAGCCATACCAGGTGACATGTTATAGTAATACTGTTCAGTTATGTTCACAGTTGGAGAGATTTGTTGCTTGAAATACGTAGTTAGTTGATATAACTTCAAATGATTGGAAACATAACGATTTAAATGTGCATTACTAAAATAGTGCTTTCTTGGGTTCTGTAATATTTAGGCATTTTTCATGTCTGCTAAGCAGGGGAGAAGGGGACCCGTTGTAAATGAGCATAACCGGTCTTCAGAATCTGAGTTCATCGGTTTTATAGTCTTGAGAGACACAGTAATTTAAAAGTAAAAAGTAAAGGATTTAAATAAATCATTTGTTGTCAAAATTGTGTCAGGTCGACATGGTTAATTGGATAAAGAAGTCACGAAACAAGAAAATGCCAATATTTTAAATTGGAATATCAACGAAATAAATAGACTTCTTGTCTTAAGGTCCAATCATGGTTACCCCAGTTGAAAAAAGTCCCATACTTTAAAATGACCAAACTGGATCAATTCCTCAAATGTCTGTTCATCGGAACCAAGTAGGGCGATCTAAGTGAAGATTTGCTTTTCCTGAGTGGAACCGCATATAAAATATGGATCCAGTTGTAGCACAGGTCACAAATTGAACTGATCTTAATGTTACTGGCGCAGGATACGTATGTATATAGGGGTTAATTCACAGTAATCTTTCCAGAACCAAAAAAAGAAATGTGGATTTTGCACGTTTAAATCGAATTTAGCGAAGAATATCTACAATACATTGTAGCTTGGCGAGATTCATATGCCTTTTCTGAGAAATGGAAATACAGTATAATGAACGCAATTATGACATTTCGCTTAAATATCAAAAAGTGTTTGATTTATCATTTATCTGACGCGATTTGAGCGTAAAATATTAAGGTTTTAACAGCCATTTGCCTAAAAAGACGAGATTGGAAAAAGTCGAGGAATGTATAGAACAACGTCCTACATTAGCACTAAGGGAGCTTTTTACAGATTTTGAGAAGGCATTCGAGAAATACTTTTAATAATTTATTCTGGATCTAAAAGTTTGTTTTCAGTGAGGCTAATAAGCAAAATTAGATGAAAAGCCATCCGAAATAAGAGCATTGAGCGTAATCAAATATACATAATACTATCTACGATATTAGTGTATTTGTTGGATTTATCATTTATCTGACGCGATTTGAGCGTAAAATATTAAGATTTTAGCAGCCATTTGCCTAAAAAGACGAGATTGGAAAAAGTCGAGGAATGTATAGAACAACGTCCTACATTAGCACTAAGGGAGCTTTTTACAGATTTTGAGAAGGCATTCGAGAAATACTTTTAATAATTTATTCTGGATCTATATACAAATATACATAATACTATTTACGATATTAGTGTATTTGTTGGACAAAAAACTGACCAAAATGGCTGGAAATCATGGATTTGCCATTTCAATCTGGTATGAACAAGTATTTATTTGTTTTATAACCCAAACGTTTTCTATGCGCAATTGCTATGGAAATGTTCGAAAGTATTAATGAAACAAGAATGTACCTACTTTTTCTGTTGCAAAACACAAAAATCGTTGAAACTCGCAACCTTGAGAATCGACTATACTCATTCAACGGATTCCCTTCACACCCGTGCTAAAAAGCCAATTTAAAAGAGAAGCCCTCGATTGAGTATATCATATAAGTCGTGTTTAAAGTAAAAATACTGAAATCATGAATATATTTCGAAGGTACACCTTACTGCAGCACATTACCTTGGGTGAAGACCAATTGCACAAACTGCAATGGCGATTGCTTTAAAGAGTGCGTCTATAGAAGAGTCAGAAAACCATGCATCAGTGAAGAAGAAAAAACAGAAATGGAAGAGTGTAAGAGTCTAGCTTTGTATGCTCTTGTGGGGTTACCATGTATAATTCAATGGATGACAGTGGGAACCAGTTTGACTTGGTATATACTTTAAGATGTTAATTTATCCTTGCAACATGGGAAGAACAATCAAAAACTATAGTAAAATATAATTTTGTAGGCACACCCCCTTGCGAGTCATTATCATGGATACTCGACAAATGTGGCGCCTGTAGGTGTTTTGACAACAAGGCATGTCTTAAATATTGCTCATATAGAAAGGGAAGACCATGCATTGGTACAAGCTACAAGAGAGTTTTAGAAGAATGCCCCGGAGATTGCTCTTGCGTACCCCTTTGCGAGTCATTACCTTGGGTACGCGACCAATGTGGAGACTGCCACTGCAAGTGTTACGGCCCTGCATGTTGTAAATCATGTACATTTAAAAAGGGAAAACCATGCGCAGGTGTAGACTTTAAAAGAGAGACAGTAATGTGCCCCGGAGAATGCTCAGATTGCTGGGGAGGTGGAAGAGAAGGAGGTAGAAGTGGAGGAAGAATAGAAGAAAGAAGGAGTGAAAGAAGAGAATCATCGAAATAGGCAATTCTTGATGAGACGGAGAGAACATACGTATACATGTTTACTTGTAAGCAAATACAGAGTAGGCTAAAAACGTCGATTTTTTTGATTTATTTTGATAAACCTTTTTTGAAAATGCATGCATTTCGATAAATGTTCGCAAAGGATGAGGGAATCATGTTTGCAATTATATTGTTCCCAAAATGGCAACAATAAATCATCAATCAATCTGTTTAAGAAACACATATAGCAGGGTGTTCAGTATATTCGGAAAATATATCAAGACAAAAATAGAATAATAAAAGTATCATAAGATAAATAAGTGAGATGAAGAAATCTGATTCAGCATCAAGAAAAATGATGATTTCGGAAATCTGCCTTAAGAGGGAAAACTATGCCGAAAAAGTATTTGTGATAACGACGATCGATATAGTGCTTGATTTCCGACTTATTACTTTGCTTATCTTCCTGGCCAAATCAATTTTCACCTACCCTGCGTGCAGAGTCTAGTTAAACTACAGAAGACGAAGCTCTCTTTTAAGAAGTGAAGTCAAACGAATGCAAAGGGTAATTTTCACCTAGAATTGGGCTAACAGTTCCATTCCATTCCATAAACTGTATATTTTCATTTAGACCCCTTTAGTGTCTGTTACCCTTTCTTTTTCAGGAAAATCTGACGATTTATTTATCCCATTTCGGGAATAATTGCAAACATGCTTCTGCATTCTAGCCAAAAGTATTTTAAAAATATGGACGTTTTTGGCCCATCCTGTACATGTATATTCTGGGACATACATCCCAAATAAAAAAAATAAAGAATCTAAATATACACATGCTAATCTTCGCAACCTTATTTATTCCTATAGCATATTCCAAAGCATATATAGCTAGTTTTCTGATACATATTTCAACAAGCTCATTTCGTAATATAAGCTACATGTATATTGAGTTAAAACATGCATGACGTACATCACCTTCTTCAGAAAGAAGTATGCTGTGAAACGAAATCAAAATTGCCAGAATAGTTTTCAAAAGGCATGAGTGTAATGCAGGTGTATATATATATTTCTTTATTGCGACCATAATTGATCATCATAATATACATTAATTTATGTTAACATATATACAAACATTTAGGTGAACAATACAAGGTCGGGACTATATTTAACATTGATTGCATGGTATTTCTAAAAGAAGAAATTAAAATGGTGTCATCTGCATAGGATGGAGCACAACATGACATCCCTCGTATAGCACAGCCTAGCCCAGAGTTAACGAGCTCTTCCAATAAGGGATTCATGAATCGTACATATAATTCCATTGATAAAACCCCTCCCTGATGAATGCCCTGACTTACAATGAATTTTTCACTACATTTACCCTTTACTCTGACACACCATTTATAACCTTCATAAGTTTCAAGGATCATCTTCCATAATTTGCCATTTATACCCTGGTTATACAAAATGTACATTAAGCCATTTAACCACACAGTATCAAAAGCTTTTTTCACATCAATAGCCAGAGCGTAAGCCTCAGACCCATTTTCTAATTGATTTGCAATAGTCTCCCTTAGTATTAACGACGTGTCAAGACAAGAAGCGCCAGGCTGTGCAGCATACTGTAATTTGGATCGACAAAAATCACCACATAGTTTACTCCGTTCAAGTATTAATCTGTCTAGAATTTTGCTATACGAACACATGAGAGTAATACCTCTGTGGTTATCCTTGTCTAAGATATCCTTGTTATTACCCTTGTATAACGTAATTATGACACCAATCTTTAAACTGCATGGGACATACTCAAGTTTAAACATACAATTAAAAATCATAGTAAGGACCTCGATAAGGGTCTCACCACCATACCTTAGGTGCTCTGCTGAGATACCATCTATGCCACATGCTTTATTAAATTTAAGGATTTAATAGCCATGGCCAGATCATTCTCATCAAAACATTCATTAAAAGAGCCATCATTATTCTCTGAATATCCACGCTTCATGAAGTCCATCATTGCATTAACATGTGCTTTAAAATCTATGTCAAAATTATCACATTCCTTTGGAGTAAAAAGCTGACTAAAATAATTAGACCATTCTTGCCTTACAGCATCTGGCTCTTGAAGTACTATACCGTGGTCATTTCTAATACAATTGGAATTTTTCCCAGATTTCTTGTGCCTATTGGCCAAAAACCAGTAGTACCTTGCATCTATATCTTGACTTTCATCAATATCTTTCTGACAATTAATATTATATTCTACCTCAGCCTGTCTCAAGGCACGTCTAAATGCTCTTTTGGCATCTTTGTATCTCAACCAAAAAACATTGTTACCACGATGCATACCACTTCTTTTCCACTCTGACCACATTTTATTTTTTGCTTTCAAGAGGTCTTTAATGCTAGAATTCCAATAAGGTTTAAGTCTCTTGTTATATTTCCTTTTGGGAATTCTATGATTGGAAACAGTTTTAAGGATATCTGTAACCCGGTTTAACACAGAATCTATATACTCTTTACTGACGTCACAATCTAAAATTTTATTCTCGAGGTTAATCTTAATTTCCGCAAGACCCTGACTAACACCCTTGGTAAATAATTCTTCAATGTCACATTTTGAAAGCTTATCCCATGCATTGCGGCAATTATTTCCAGGTGCACTATTACCAGCATTGAAATCATTTATATTTGATAAGTTTACATTTACAACTAAGGACAGATGATCTGATGTGTTGAGTAGTTCATCTTCATTTGTAATCCCTCCATTAACATATCTGTAAAAAGTGCTTGATATAACACAATGATCAATGTAAGAGGTCCCCAAGTAATCCCTGCTAAAAGTGTAATTAGGCCCTTTCCACAAATCATTATACATGTCGATAGCCATCAGGCCATTCCTCTGCATAAATTCATGAAATTTAAAACCATTACGATTAATGATTCCCGTTGACAGCAACGTGAAATTTTGAACTCCAGTTCTAAACACGAAACTCTGAAGCTGAAAGGGTTCTGTAGTAGACTAAAGCGCTTTGCGCGCATAAAACCATGCGCCCTCTTCACATTACTACGAGATTGATTCATGTACTTTCCGTTCACGGTTGCGTTGTGAATAACATTGCAAGCTTAATCTCTCTAGTACCTCACCATTGTTACGTAAACGGAACGGGTTAGATTAGAAGTGCAGATCTTAACCGTTTTTGCAGTAAATGGTGCATATGCTTAAGTTAAGTCAATACACCCTTCCTGGACTTATACGACCCAAATCCCAGCCTATGTGTGTCTACCGATTAAATATTTATTAAGTATTTTTTAGTGTGTAGTCTTAAATTTTTTTGACTTTGGGCGTATTTGCCCAATAATGTACTTCTTCCTTTGAAAGGCTTGCGTTACTACCTTGACGTTACACTTAGACTTGAACAGTTGTCCTATCTATGTAGTCTGTTCAATCTAAAACGTAATCGTAACTACGTACTAACGTACAGACGTATGTTTAACGGGAACTGCTTCTTCAATGTCTGAAATTGATGAACATTTCCACTGCCATTTAAATCAATTGGAATAGCCTACATTATTATGATTATATCATTCATCGTAAATCCACAGCAATTGGTAAGAGCAAACAGTGCGCTACATGCAAAACTGCTCTCACAACGTACGTATCGTAATTCACAGATCACATAGTTCAGCAGTTAGAACAATGACGAGCTGTCTTCACTTGATCCTACTAATAGGAATCGTCGCCTTCCTGACTCACCAGACATTCGGCCACGAACCGGTCCGTCTTCTCGCTGCAAGCAGATTGCCCCGAACCGATCCGTCTTCTCGCTGCAAGCAGGATGAAATTCTTTGTCACAAAGTTTGGCATTTTCTATAAAATCAAACGCGCGTCATTGAAACTCACAAGATGTAAATAGCATGTCATTTACATCATACCTTGATGGGGAAAAATATATCTTATATGTTAGAAGTACTAAATAAAAGTTATCGTGAAAATGAGACAGTCGTTCTCGAGAGAAGAGCATAAATGCGCATTTAGAGAGTTTTGGTCCGTTTAAAAATCTGTAAAAAATTGGGGTACTAATGGCCTAGTCACATAGCCCGGCCGATGAGGTTACGATGAGCCAGCGATGCAATTTTCACCGAACTCGGCCGAACACCGGCCGGACACCGGCCGGACATCCGTGGCGTTTGTTGCTTAAAACCGTATCGGTGGTAGCTCGGTGAAATTTTAACTTCGGAGTTAAATTTCACCGGGCTCTCACCGAGCTCCCTCATCATGTCATCGCAGCCCCATCGTAACCACATCGGAAAACACGTCGGCCGGTGCACGGCCGAGTATCGGCCGGTGTCCCGTGCATCTGAGACAACCAGAGGACGAGGTTTTTTAACGGACAGCGGCCGAGCTCCGACCGAGCTCCGGCCGATGTGGGACAGAGCATCGGCCGGTCACTGTTCAAAGCCCGTTAACAACCCGGCCGGCGATCGCACGGTGTCCTGTTACCTGCTCGGGTACCGGCCGTATTCCTTCCGATGTCCGGCCGACCTCCGGCCGGTAGTTGCTGCCACATCGGCAGAAAAAAACTACCATTTTGAGACAGACTCCGTACGGTCACCGGCCGGTGTTCGGTCGGTCGCCTGAAGATGTCCGGACGGAGTCCGTTCACGTCACCGAGCTCTGCTTCCGATGAGGAGAGCTCGGTGGCACCAAAAAAATCCACCGAGCTCTACCGATGCCGGACATCGGCCGGGCTATGTGACTAGGCCATTAAAAGCATCGAGAGGCATCATATATTTCAAATTAGACACGAGGAAGTCAATATTGAGCAAGTTATGGCTATTTTGAATTCAAATAAAACCGTTAACCCGTACCGGTCCAGCTTTTGACCCGTACCGGTCAATTTTCGTTAGCTGCGTATACCAAGGGTGCTACATCTAAATTTAGTAACAAAACTCACTTATTCGTCAATTCAAAAACAAGATGCAATAGCTGAAACTTTATAAACCAATCAAATCTGAAGGATTTCACTCAGAATAATCATATATAAATGAAACATCGAAATTGAATTAGTTAGTTAGTTAAATATTTATTATAGTGTCACAGGCTATACAATATATGAGACATATGATTTACAAAACAGGCAATAGCCCCCAGCCGTCTCCGGCTTATGAGACACTTTATATCAATGAATTTACTGTGATTGTTGCAATTTCTTTGTTCAATTCAGTTCATTGATTGTCCAGTTTCGATATGATTAAATGGTGAGTCTATGTTATTAGTTTTAATATCAAACTAATTACTGTGTACATATATGTCGACATTAATCTGTGCCATATGAATTCAAAAATGAGTCAAATGTTTTTAGTTATTACTCAAGTCGCACAAATAAGTCCATGTGTTTCTTTTCTTTACAAAATATAATCCTATGGTTTTTCTTGGTTCAGTAGTTCTGCAATGAAACAAGCTTATTAGCCTATAACTTACAATCTAATTGATGCCATAATCTTGTACATAGGCAATATGCAGTTGTTGAATATCCAAGATCGACTGGATGTAAACAAGGGTATTACTGAATTACAGTTACCCAAGGCAAAATACACATGTCAGTTGTTATGCCTTTGTGTATAATTTATCCACAATCCTAATGTGTGTGTGTGGGGGGGGGGGGGTTGATAGTCATTTTGGAGAACCGGTCATTTTCCTGAGAGAGCAATTAGTTGTTCTGAAATTTGTCACTTACATTTTACAAATAAATCGTTTTGATATCGAAGAGATGCTACTTTGACAATATGCTGCAATTATAGAAAGGCCTGTTTGTCTGTTGTGCACTGTGTGTGTGCCCTGTGTGCTTACTGCCTGTCAGTCAGTCAGATGTAAAATTTATATTTGATAAAAACATATTTATATACTTAGTACTATTTTTGATATTGAAAATAAATTGATTTATTGATATTTTAAATCTTATTTTGTGATTATTGGTTCAAGAGACTCTATGTAATCGACCCACATACACTCGCCCACTATCCTTCAAAAGCGATGCTGTTAAAATCAGAGAGAGAGAGGACGACGAAAAGAGCAACAGTTGGACAATCGGCCGAGAGCTGTGATGAGAAAACCAGACTCTCAAATTGGAGACTAAAGTCAGTCAGTAAATCGTTTGAAGATCAATCGGCAGTTTCACCTCTACTTGATTCAATCGATAATTTGTTTCACAGTTGATGATTTTTAATAAAAAGGATTTATGGTGAAAATAAACACTGTATCAACAAAGAAGTGATATCTTAACTTGTAATATTAATCAAATACCTGTAAGCTATGCTATTTGTAGAATAATAAGAAAATATATCAAATCTAACAAAAATAAAGAATTTACAGGAAACTCATACAGGGTATCAAATTTAAGTCCCGTCTTCTCTATAGCAAAAGCTTTAATAAATGATACCTAGTGTGATATACCATTGGTAAGACCAACCAAACTAACATTGACTCACAAACTCTCAAACTTGTTAAAAAAGTTGAATGTCCCTGTAACAACAATGGTACAATTAAAATGATATTTTTGTCAGTTCAATATTGTCACCACCTGTCACCACACACAACACTTGCATCTTGTCACGGGTATATGTACAGTGCGTATAAAAAAACGCAACAGATTGTTATCTCGGAAAAGCACAAAACCAGTGATAACAGCATTGATTTCATTCAATGCACCATAAAGCCACGTGTCTCCTCTTTACAATGATATATCATTCATTGATATTTGGTCATGATTGGGCGAGTACTCATTCCATTTGGCCAAGTTGGCCAAAATTAGCTTGGGGCCAAGTTATAAACATCGCAAAAGTCAGTGTACGACGCCCAATGCAATATATATATACATATAACCATTGCTGTTTGCATCATTTTCATGCAATGTACCAAAAAGCCAAAATACTCTTCTTTGCAATGGAATATCATTGATTCACAGGGAGTCATGGCTGGCTGAATAATCATTAATTTTGCAAAGTGGGGCAAAATTCAGCTCGGACCCAGGTTTTAAACATTGCGAAAGTCAGTACAAGGGGCATGGGGGCTATTGGAAGAAGGTGTGACTGGTGTGGCATAGGCAGTAAAGTGTTCATACTCATATTCTTGCAATAATACATCCTAAAAACCCTCCAAATTGCCACCACTTCATTGCACATAAAGGTGCGCTCATCTGTCCATGTCATGCATGGTTCAGCCCTGAGTCATCTGTGGATTAAAGCAGAGAAAAGCAGCCCATGGGCAATTATTTCTCGGGGTTTTGCAATTTCTGATGGAGGAATTGTGAGCACAGATGCTCCTGAGGTAGCTCCAAAAGAAATAAGTCACAATAATTCAAGTCAGGGGCACTTTTATTGGCACTTAGATAACTACTTGCTTGTTGCGCTTTTTTGATACACCCTGTATATGCAAATAATCGTTATAATGCTTATAACAATTGGGGTATTGATTACATATAAACATTAACAAACGTTTACCAACTTATTGAGGGTAATGGTCCATTTCAAATAAAACAAAAATACAGACCGATCCTTTATGAATGTAGCGGCAAGCCTAACAATATTCAATTTAATTTGCAAGAGACACACATTGCCTTTTCAGAAAGCAGTCAAGCAATACACTTACACACATTTGAATTATAAATAAACACATTATCTATCCATTTCATAATCTCTAAATTAGTAATATACCTTTTCAACGATCGTATGACATTTACTTTGTTAGAGGGAATGTATAAAAGTTAAGTAGCGGTCACACTAGCCGTGTAGGCCCACCGTTCGCCACCGTGTGGCTAATTATGGCCAGACGGCGATGGCCGGCATGGTCACACGGTGGCCCGTTTCCCGGCCGTTTGAAAACGTTCAGGGAACGTTGCCGGCCATCCAAACCCGGCGAATTTTTTGAG